AATAATAATAATAAAATTTTTGCGACTCAAGTAAAGTTGAATAAAAAAATAAATTAATAATTATAATATAATTAAATAGTTGTCATATAAATCGTTGCAATAATTACAAATTTTATGTTCCCATTAAATTCTAATTTTTCCTATGAAATTGTATTTAACAACGAATGAAGCAACGCTAAATCTAAGTAGAAATGATCATTAACCATCCATTTAGACGTTAGTTGACAGAATGGCTTAGCGGGTTGTTGCTCAATTCGGAGTGCCGATACTAAGGTTCTATTTCCTGCGGGAGATCTGTCAAAAAACAAGGGTGATTCTAGCGACTCACCTGTATTTCTATCGCAAGGAACTCTATGGCACATTTGTCCAATGCGACAAGCCAGCGGAGCGAGTTTAACCAGTAATGGTGAAAGCTCTTTTAAAAAAAATCCATAAATCTTCATTTTGGATTATGAAGATTTTAGGTCATTTCCGAACTTTTATCGCAACTGACCATCCTCGACTAGATTAGAGAGAAGAAATCTGACTTACTACTGTTTCGGTGTAATTTACCTTGCCAAGTATTGAGCGAAAAAAAAAGCTAAAAGTTGGACTAAGCTTAAAAACAAATTAATTAATTATTAAATAATTATTAATGAAATGCCTCAAAAGATTTAAAATCGGTCCAGAGCATCGTATCACAGATCCTGAATGCGCTGATGATGTAGCCCTTTTTGCTGACAGTTTTGACGAAATGCAAACAATACTAAACAACATATCAGCGAGAATCGGACTCAGAGACAATATAAATAAAACGAGTGTTCTCGCCTTGTATACAACAAGCTGATAAAATGTCTCCTTTTTTATAAATTCATTACTGGTTGAGGAAATATCTGATTTTAAATACTTTGGATTCAAACTAATATCGAATGGCCAGTCAAAAGACAACATTATAACCCGGATAACGGCAGTAGAAATGCATTCTTTCGGTTGACGAAACCTTTATGGAGTCGTCGCGACATCACGATAAAAAGATAAAAACGAAAGTCCGCATATAGCCGCGATTCGTTCGATCTTGCTATATGGCTGTGAGATATGACCAAAGAGAGTGGAGGATATTAAGAAGTTACCTGCCCTTGACCACTCATGTCTAAGATATATTTTACGGGTTAAAATCGTCGCCGAGTGGATAAAATCGCACATAAATACTGCATCCGCCCTTCAATCGAATACTATTTGCATTAACAATGCCATCACAGAACATCGCTGTTGCTGGTTAGGACACGTTCTTCGACGTCCATCACAAGAGTTGATAGATATTTCGTTATTTGCTAGGCTCTGTGATTGGCGCCGTTAAAAGGTGCCGAGGTGGGTCAATTAAGACCTGGACTGATACGGTCAGAAAAAATTTTGAACATAAAGATGGACCAGCAATATATGGATTTAGACGATGGAAAAAGGAATGACTTCTACTGCTGTCGACGATGGCATCAGACTGCTCCGCTTGGAACCGTCTTACCCTTGTAGCCAGTAGAACTAGTCTACCCATTAAATGTGAAAGAATATAGAGGAATAAGATGCCATCTTAAAAAGATTAAGTAGATTTATTCCATTATATTTTACAATTTTGATCTTTTAAGTTTAAATTCTACTAAATTTTAAAAAATTTTAAAATTTTTTCGGAAATAAATCTTCTTAATTATCGTAATTATATTGCATATATTTATTCTTATAATCCTTATAATTCTTATAATCCTTAAAATACAAATAAAAGAAGAAAAAAATTGAGTCTTATTTAACCTCTAACCTTTTCCTTCTTCTGATAACGTATTTGCTGATAGTGCAAATTCATTTCGTACATTTTCCTTGCTTTGCTAACTAATACACCTAAGGACAGAAGTTTATGAAGTGTGAAATAAATGAATAAAAATATTAATAAATGAAAATATTAGTTGCATCATTGCATCTAAAAATTATGCCTAAGCTGATATATTCGCATATAAATTATAATTCAAACGTCGAAAAAATTTAAATAGGCGGAAAATTTAAGAAATAATGAACTTGATGAGTTAATTAAAAATAAACAGACTAAAGTATACATTTATATTTATTATATAAATAATTTTAATAAATAATTGAGTTAATCTAAAAAAAAATTTTTTTTCATATAAATTCTAGTCTGATAATCTGATAAAAAATAATTAAAATTGATAAAAAAAGTCTAATCTGATAAGAAATATTTTTTAAAAAATATTTATTTTTTAAGTTTGGGAAATAAAAAATTCACATTTTTTAAATTCTAGTGCGAAAAACTAAAAAAAAATATCTGAAATTGTGGATAAAATTTACCATATCAAATAATTTCTGTGTTTTTCATGGAAAATTGTAAATATCTGAAGAAAATTATAAGACAATAAAGTATCTTCATTAAAAGATTAGACAACTCTTGAAGCCTAACGATATATCCATGAAAAATGAGCATGCAATATGTTTACGAGGCCCACACTCCCAATAATTGGTCAAGTCAGCCAAACCAGAAATGGAATCAACTGTTAGAGTAATGATGATAAATAACTATAATAATATAATAGTTATAATAACAATAATAAAAATAATAATAATGATAATAATAATAAAAATAATGATAATGATAATAAAATAATAATAATAAGCAATGACTAAAAAAATCGACTAATTTTTAATTAATTTAGAAAACATTCTTAGAATATCGAAAAAAATGAATTTTTCATAAAACAATGATAATTTGATAATTTACTTCTTTTTGAATGATAATTTTGCTGATTTATTATAGCAAAAAGCGGTATAATTTATTTAAAATACCGTGGCTGATAATAAACAAAAAAGAAAGTCAATACGGTTAAAAAGCATTATCGAATTACTTTCTCGTTTCTCGAATGTGAATTTCGATATGAAAATTAATTCAAAATAGTTACCGTTATAGTTATAAATAATTTTTTTATTTGTATTTTATAAATTTATATATTTTTAATTTTTGTAATAATTTTATAAAAATTCAATAAAATATTTTAATTTCTAAAAATCGTCAATTTTTTTGTTAAAAAAATTTTATTTAATTTTTAAAGAGCGATTTACAAACTATACAAAGGTAGCTGAGCGAATCAACTCAACTTAATTGATCAAAAATCATTTAATCTATCATTCGATTATATTAATATATTAACAATCAATCTAATCAGTGATGATAATGAATACTAATCACTTATTATCTCTTTTTAAATATTCTTTGATTTAATTTATTGCTTTTATTTTTGCTTTTTTTTTTTTTTAAATTTTAGTTTTCTTAAAGAAAAATGAATTAATCAGTATTGTTTCTTTTTGCAGATGTTTTAGATAAATGGTTTTAGATAATTTATTTCAGAATTTTAGACGACATCTATCGACGATATATTTCTTAATCGTTGCTATGGGAGATTTGACCTAAAATGAGATTTCTTTCCATTCTTTGGTATATAAAAACTTTAGTAATTTAATACAATTTCGATAAGGCAATCTAACTTACCATTATCATTCATAAAGAAAAATTATTGAATTGAAAAAAAAAAATTTTAAATTTTCCAAAATTTAAGATTTTCGGCTTTTAATGATTCGTCTTTTTTGACTAAATTCTATTATTAAACATTATGATTAAACGATGATGAAAAAAATATGTATTTTTATGAAAAATTAGTTGAAGGAATGCCAAAGGGACAAAAGAAAGACGAAATTGCAGCTCGATTAGCTGCAGCTAATACAATTATAATACAACTGTTTGATGAAAATAATATCGGAAATACGGAGGACTAAAAAATATTGTTCAACAAGTGGGGATTCATCATGAGTTCAATATCAAAATCGAAAGTTAATATCTATTTAGCTGTAGTACATACAATCCTGTAATTACGATAAGCGAAACATATGAGAGGTCCAAAAATATGAAAGTAGAAGTTGCCTATTTTTCATTATTCTTGCCTAAGGTATAATCTTCGGACCCACCAGAGCTAATAGGGTTTCACAAGATTCAATCTTCGACTGAATGCGACTTGTATTAAGTACACCAGCATCATCGGCGCAGGTTTGTCCTTCGTGATCTTTCACTGAAATTATATACATCTCACTCACTATATGATAAAACACTTGATGAATGAGGACAAAAACATCGAGGCTAGATCAAAATCCGGAAGAAGAGAAAATAAACGAGGCCCATCGACACATGTACGTTATTAAACGGTGAAAACGTTATTTCCTGGACATTCTTCAGAAGAGAGCTGAAAATACCTTATCCTCATAACCATAGGAATTACCCCAATCTGTTACTGGAGGAAGAAGTAACTGATAATTGCACAGTATAAATTCGAAACCTCCTTTTCCAAAGAACCATTTGCTGATAATTGTGCATCTTGTATCGTTTTCTTAGATTGTTTCTGAGCGTCATCTGAACTCAAATTTACCTTCAAAAAAAACAGAAAAATGAGAATCGATACTCGAGCCAAATCGACCGCTCGATCATCCTTATCCCAGGTAGCTCTGCTTTTCAGCATTTTTTTTGGCTAGTACTATAATCTTACCCACAGTTGCGATTCTTGTGATTCTCTTAAAAAATGACGATTCTTGTGATTCAGAAATGGCGATGAATGTTATAAGCAATACTTGGTTTCGAAGAACGTAAGGTTCATAAATTACAAGTGATGCCTCGAAGGAATAAACCTGTACAAAAATCCGGATGATGCTGGAGACTCACCTGTATTTCTATCGCCAAGGGACAACCCAGTGGAGCAAGTTCAACCAGTAATAGTGGGGACTCATAAAAACAAAAACAATTACTACTCAAATTACTATTAATAAAAATTTATATCTTATTTGCAAATACTTATAATGTTATAACCATTTAAAACCAAAAAAAATCTCAATATTTTATTTTAGCAAGAAAAACGAAAAATTAAATTAACAATGAAATAATGACAAAGAATAACAAAACGTCGAACTTTAAGCAACAGATGTTATTAATCGGAAAAGTCACTCCTCTTTTTCTTCTTTTTAACTTTCTCTTTTACATATTCATCGTCAATAAGCATCGAACCATTTTCTCGTGCACGTTTTTTCTAAATGATTAAATAAGGTAACACATATAAAATGTAGGCAGTAATATATTTACAACACTTACTATCGTATTGAGTTTTATTCATCTATATTTATTGTTTTAATTTTATTCTATTCCTAACTCAGCTTTGCCACTTCGCCACTTTTATATTCTACAACAAATTTCGTTTATTCGAATATTTTTTTTTTTAAAAAATTAAACAATTAAAAAAACCTTCTGAGGAATTTCATTCTCTTCATAGCTTTCATTTTTCATTTCTCGTTTCAGTTCTTTTAGTGCCTTCTTTCGTTTTTTCAATATCTTAAAGAAATAGGTTCAACAAATGAAAAAAAATGGAAAAAAAAACTGAATATGAAATTAAGAAAAAATAAGAACTTTTGTTTGAACAATAACTGCTTCGCTTATGGCTTCCTTCATTACATCAGCGTTTTTCTTGGGAATCTCACCAGTCTCAAAATATTTAAGACGATCTTCAACCTAAATAAAAATAAAGATTAAAAAGCAAATATCTCCCAAATTATATTATTAGCAAAATTTTTTCTCATTCATTCAAAGAGAACCAAAAATTTTCAATTTATATTTATTTTAACCTGCTGTCTAAGATGTTCGCCGAATGTTGGAACTGGAATTTCAGAAAAGCAATCAATTCGCGATGCAACCGAACATTTGTTAGCCAAAAAACGAGATATGCGGCCTTTACTTTTCTTTGATGCTCGAGTAATATAAGAAGAGCGGAAAAGTAAACCGAACTTTGGAGTATTTGCTACAATTAGATTAATATTAGAGATATTTGACAGTATATCTAAACCTAAAGGTAAGCAATATTCATAATTTAAAATATATATTTTTCCCAACCATAGTAAGGACTAACATCTTGTTTTCAGGGCACGAAATAATGCTTTTTCAGCTCCCATAATTTGCACAGTAGACGCGGGAAATTTGGCCAAATTGGTAAGACTACCAGCATGCGATATAAGTCGGGCACCAATCTAAATGCGAATATATTAAACACACAATGGAACTCACACACACAGTGATTTTCTGTGCAGGATTCACTAAGAAAACAAAATTAAAGGAGACCTGTTCTCCAACAAGAGCTGATAAAGATGGGGCACACGATGCCATTCGTTCTTTGATATATTCGTTCAGATTTTGTCTGAAATCTGTCAGTGCAGCAATACGATTGGAAAATCGATCAATGTTAAGTAAATCTATCTCCGATATATCCATTCCTATTGATGTTCGCGCTGCTTCAACTATTTCTGCCACTTTGGATTCGCTATTTTCACCCAATATTTCTGAAAACAGTTGAAAAACTACGACGCATTTTGCTAAACAATCAAATAATAAAACCAATAATTAATCCCAAAAATAATAATAATAAAGTCTCAAGAAACCAAGCTTAGTGTAGGGAAAGTAACAAGAAAACAAAAAAAAACCAAGAAATTTCGACCTCCCAAATTTTCCAGAGTCTTTTCATTAATGCTTTTTCGATCCATAATAGCAACTGCGCATTTTACATAGATATTTTGTTCTGGAACTATTTTGCTTAATTCCGGAAAATGATATGCATACCTGAAATAAAAAAATGTTTCTCGTACTTATACAAAAATAATCTTGCAAAAATTAGAAAGAATATAAGAAAATTTATCAAAACTAAAAAATTTCCAAAAAAAAACCATTCTCGAATGCGCATTACAAAAAGGTTTATATCCTTATCAAGCTGATCTAATAAAGCTATTGACTGAATTACCATATTATCAACACGGTGAATATCAAACTTTACCTAAAAAACGTAAATGGTTGATAATTAATAAAAAGAAAAATTCTAAAGTGTTTCACTGTACATATATAGTAAAGTAATATACAGTACAATAAATCTCATAATGTCATATACCATTTGTTTCGGAGTGAAGATCCTTTTAGCACAGAGCCGCTCGGTGACAAAAGCACAAATGGCCTTGTCAAGAAACAGAATAAATAGAAATTAAGCCTATAATGACTTGTTCACTGTGCCCACTTGTCCACAATTTTTAAAAAAATGAAATAATTTTACTTTATGCGAATTTTATGCAAGAGAAGATTAATTTATTACTTTTGTTCGAGAGTAACTGTGGCCCAGAGACAATTGGGCTTTTTGCAATGAATGATGCGGCAAATCTTTGATTAAGGTAAAGAAATGATATCTGATTCCACGAATTATTTCAGGAACCACGCCCGTAAATTGGCATTTCACTCCATGAATTTTTTCACTTATTGCAGCAGCTAATTTTTGATCATGGATACCCAATGTTACGACACTTTTCTTCTTTTTTGGTAAATTTTCTTCCAAAAAATTAAGCAAATCGTCATGAATAATACCTGCAAAAAAAGGAATGGAATTATAAAAAATAGATTGCAGGAAATAAACCTGAAATAATCTAATTCATAAATGCAAAGAAATCTACTTGAAATGGATAAATCTCGTAACAGAAATGTCTCCATCACCAATATGAAGATAAAGTAGTCAATAAAACAAAGTAAAAATGAAAATTGCTTAAAGAAAAGAGGAAAAGACATACCTTCTGCAACAGCATTACAATTTTCAAGTGCTGAATCTGTATTCTTGAATTCACTGAATGCAATAAGTTTCACTAGCGAGCAAAAACGCTGCACATTATTGAAACTTTCTTCCACCTGAAACAGATGTTTTATCCATTATAATTTATTTATTAAAATATTGAATGGGATAAATTATATATACTGAAGAAATCAACAATAAATAAATGTCGATGCAGATTAATATTAAGATGATAAAATTCAGAAAGCAGAAAACTGAAGGCTTTTTTAACTCTTCTGACTGTATTATCTGATTGTATTATCGATATTTGCCGGCTCCAAGTAATTTTTCCGAAATTTTCGAAAGACAACAAAAAATACAACTTGTGGTTGTTAGCGAATAAATTGAGGCTTTAATACCTTTTATAATACCCTTTACCTTTACAATATCCTTTTTTTCAAGAGACACCATTTCTAATTAAGCTCGCTCCACTGGGATGTAGAAACAAAAAAAATTTTGCCATCTAACGATATAGTAAAAAATACAAATATGCAACACCAATAAGATTTTTGAATGATACGTTTATTTGTACCAGAAAAAGAATCCTAGCATCGGCGAAATGCGAATAATCACCTACTGAGCTATTTTACTTATACAAATCATATTAATTTGATCCAATAATTGGTGATACGAGTGATAAAATTTTCAATTTTCAATTTTCAATTCAAATTTTCAATTTTCAGTAGACTTCTATAGACTACTAAAGTTTCACTTTTGATCACATCACATTAGAATCCAAGCTGAAATTATTATAGGCTGATGAAGCCAAGTGGAAAGTGTTTCTTCAGAAGCTTAAACCACTTCACAAAGTCAAATCGGTAAGCTTGGAAACGTCTCAATCTAACCACTGAAATAAGCCAAACCAGAGAAAACAAGGACTATCGATCTAGAATAAATGAATTTCCGTTTACATATGTCCTACGAATTTCGATGAGAATTAAGAAGAATTTTGCATATCAATTATAAATAATAAATAGAAAGAAAAAAAAAACGACCTGCGGAACGATCAAAGGCGTGTCTTCGAATTCTTTCACACGAAACAAACAATAACCAGCAGCATGCTCGAATAATATGAATTGTACAGCTTCTATTTCACCCATACTGAACTTCAAATTATATAATAAATTTAATAGATCCTATAAGCAAACATCCCCAACTTACTACCACACCGAAGGGTCAGAGGTCAAACCAAACTTAAAAAAAAAAACAATGACAGGTTAATTTGCTTCGAAACTTTAAAAATGTTTTGCCACAATCGTTTCAAGAGCAACGTTTTTGAATTTTTATTAAACTTACAGCTCTCTAATCTCTAATAAGGGAGACATTGCTAATTTCATAAGAATGGTGAACCATGGGACATTTCGATAAGTAAATATTTATTGACAGGTTTGATAATCGGAGAATATCAAAGAACCAATATCAGCACAGAACACCGCACCGCTTATGATGAGGTGATATTTTCCCTGTGATGAATGGTGTCGAAAGCGAGGCTAAATAATCGAACCTGGATTAATGCAACCAGAAGAAGTTTTAACGAGCGATATATAGGTTTAGGCGATGGAATAAGGAGTGATTTTTATTACTCTTAGGTATAGCATCGGATCGAGAGTGGCTTGGAAATAACTTGTAACCAGCGGAACTAATTATTAATGGTTCAGCAATGGTGTTTAGAAGAACCTCCGAAACATATAGGAATGTAGATAATATTGTTCTGCACCCCAATAGCTCCCTTTCGGTTACGCATTCCCATCCCATTCCCATTCTCTAACCCATTAGTAATATTCATTTAGATCCCATGCAACCTCTCCATCATTGCGTTCTTAGCACATTCTTCGGGATCATTCCTGAAAGAACCTTTAACTTTCCTTAAAGCTACCTCGTTTTACCATTAGTAACCATCAGTTACTTAAACTTTCTTAAATCAACTAATCCTTCTATGGCTTCTATTATTGTCAGCGATAGCGTTAGACCGAACAACTTGGAGACGTCTTATCCTTGTAGCCATTTGATCCAACTTAGGCAGTTATGGTGAGAACTGTTAGAAGAAGAAACCAATTAATCCGTTAGACACCAGTTCCTCACCAATTACTTTAGAACCTCTTATAATCCTCACCAATTACTTCAGAACCTCTTATGCACACCTTAAACACCATAATAAGCTATATTCCTTCGTTTAAATCTGTAGTAATCAGTATCAAATCCTTAACTTCGTCGAGATCGGCAGTGGCACTTTAATTCCTTTTTAACAATTGTGATTGACTGGCTCTACTAACTCTACTGATAGCTTGAGATAACTCTACTGATACTGATTGCTTCACAAAAGAATTATTGAAAATAAAAGTGCAGTTGGATCCTCAGCACCATGGATTTTTTTAAAACAGCATTTAGTCAAATGGTATCTGATGTTTGCTTAGTTAGAGCAACTTAACTCATCTGACCCATATCGTTGTTATTTACTCGTTACTTTTTGCTCTAACCCACTGATGTTCCCTGATAAATATCTGCGATGGATGGCGTCAAAAGCGAGGTGGGCCAATCAAGACCTGGACTGATACAGTCAGGAAAGAATATATATGGGGACCAGCGATATATGGGCTTAGACGATGAAAAAAGGAATGGCTTTTATTACTACTAGCGATGGCATCGGACCGGGCAGCTTGGAAACGTTTTACTCTTGTAGTCAGCGGAGACAGCCTAACCAGCAGTGGTGAGAGCTGTTACAAGGAAAAGGCTTTCCATTCTAACCCACTAATGCTCCCGGATATCTGCAATTAGAGGTCTAATGTTGCAATCCTCCGTCGATATCCTTTAAAATATATTTTTTTTGGAAAGACCGGAAAACAGCAGAATTCCCTATAAATCTCTTTAACATTAAAAATTCACCTGTACTCTATTACTATAGATAATTTATTGTTGCCATCATTTCAAAGCTTCTTTTTATATCTTTTTAATTCCCATATATTCATCACCATTTTCCCTTAACTTTCACCGCAATTGTGTAATAAATTATGTAAATTAATCGTGATAACTGAATGTTACTGAAAGTATTAATCGTGGTAACTGGATGTTACCGAAGGTATTAATCGTGATAAATGGATGTTACCGAAGGTATTAATCGTGATAACTGGATGTTATAACTAACAATTAATGATATTGGGGATGAATTATAGGGATTTGCTAGTAAATGAAAGTTCGAATCAGTGTTTAGCAAGAGATTTCAGGAAAATATCAAATGGTATTTCTAGATTTGAAAATTCTTGATTGTGTGGCTAGTTCATTCCTAAATAAATAATCTAAATTTGCTATGCTATATGCAAAAACAATTTCAACCCACTATTACACTGCTGATAAATTTTGAGTAATAAAGGTGCTCTCAATAATCAGTAATTTAATCAATAATCAGTCAGCAAGAAAATGGTTTGACAATATTACCACTTCTTTTATGTTATCATTCCAAAAACGAAAATTTATTTATAATATATTATAAAATAAAACAATTTAAAAATATATATAGAAAAATGATTATCAAAAATGATAAATGATAAATGATTATCTTCTTCAAAGAATCATTTCGAGAAAGAGATAGATACAAAGATATATCCTCATCTATTAGTCTAATTCCCTTTTCCTCAATGCAATTGAATTTCCAGGTTAAATTTTCTTCCAAGAATACTCATAATTTTTGATTTGCCTTCCTCAATTGACTTTTCTATTCCTTGGGAAGAGGGGATTTACCCGGATTTAATTTTTACTTCTACGAAGGCTTGCGAATCCATCATACTTACCCATAGATAAACAAATGAAAAAAAAACGGAATAAAAATTATAATGACAAGTCGATGTCATATCTTCTTGGTTAGTCGACCAGAGAGAAGAAAACATCAATTTCATGGATTTTTACAAGTTAATCTACGAGAAAATTACTAAGAGAATATTTCTAAAAGAAAGAAAAAGATTTTCCCATAATATCCATAAATAACCTTACTCAATACAAAGTAATAAAGTATTATAAAGTATGAGAAAAACAAAGTCAACGCGCAATAAGCGATCATACATCATTTTCGCAGTAATAAGGCATTTTGACCATAATTTTTAAGGCAAAACTTGTGAGTCGATTAGTGGTGCGTCTTGCTCATAGATATTTTTATTTAAATTTTTATGCGAGTAATAAAAACATTGAGCAGTAAGTACTATATCACAAAAGCAACAACCAAAACTACCCGCAAGCCAAGGTAAATGACGTACAATATATAACCAACTTGTCGCGCCTAATAGTACCTGAAATTCTTTCATCTGTATTCCCAGGGATCTTGACCATCAAATAAAGGGTATTGATGAGGCATCTTGATTCATATTTTCGCTTTACTTTACAAAATTTGGAAGCAACTGGTACTTTTAAGTTGATACTAATAATAATGAAAATAATAAAGTATCAATGAAAAAGATTCGGTGAAAAAGTATGAAAAGAAAAATATGCAAAAAAGACTAATCATAAAATTGTGATGACATTACCTGATGATAGGATAATTATGAACAATAATCCATGTTAATTAAACTAAAATTAATTTAAAAAATTACCGATATTCCATAAGTGGCATTAGCGGCTATAATTATATAAAACATGAGAAGAGAAAGGCCTGAAAATAAAAATGTGAATTCATGAAATAAAAACAACCAAAAAAAATAAATGAATGACTTTCACAGTATTTAATCCGTATAAATCTTCATTATTATAATATTATAATATTTTTATAAATATTTTTTAAAATTTTAAAATATTTTTATAAATCAAAGAAATCACCTTCACAATTTTTTCGACTATAATTGCGATATAATTGAGGAATACGCCCAGTAAAATAGCAAATTGCAGAAAATGAACCAATTATATAACCAATCTAAAAAAATAAAAATTTATATAAAAAAGTGAATTAAAAAATTTTAAATTATGTTTTTTACTTCACAATTAATAAAAATTAAATTAAATCAAATATAAAGAACTGAATTAAATAAAATTAAAATTAATAAGAGAAAATATAAAAAAAATAATATTGATAAGAAAAATAATATTAATAAAAATAAAAATAACAAAATAAATAATAAAAATAATAATAATTTTTATGATTTATAATTTTTATAGTTTATAAATAATAATTTTTAATAACAATATTAAAGAATTAATAAGAAAAAACTCAATAAAAATAAAACAATTAATAATTGCATAAACTAACTTACTGCATCATATTTATTGCGAAAAACTGGCGTAGAGAATTTAATATTATTTGCTTGTAATAAACGACGACTTTGAAATAATTCTTTATCTTCATAAGATATTGCGTTATCGTAAATTTCAAATGGCAATAAAGTCCAACCGCTGAATGCAAGACCAAACAATATGATAGGAACGATTGCAGTTGGATTAGTCAATGGATTGCGATTAGCTTAATGGATTTGTTTATTGAAAATCAACCAAGCAGGGCGGCAAACGCCATCTGCTTATACTAATAAAAAAAATTTAAAATAACAAATAATAAATAATAAAAATTAAAATTTAATAAATAATAAATAATAGAAATTAAAGATAAAAAAAATGAAAAAAATTAACAAATTAAAGAAATAATATATAATTAATTAATTAATATAATTCGAAGTAACTATATTACTTAATCGAATGGTAAAAATTGAGATTTCACACTTTCTACATGATATGAACCTTTTAAATAATATCATAAATGATATTATCTAATCTTTTTCTAAAAATAACTAAGGTTGATTTATAAGTACGAATGAAAATTTGAGAAAAAAATTAAACGACATAAAAAAGGAAATTAACTTTACGATTCGGTTTGAAAATCCGAATAGAAACAATCTTAACAAATTGCCTTTATAATAGCAAAATTCTATAGATTCTATAGATTATATTTATCTTTAAAATTCACGTTTATAATTATCGAATCCATTTTCATCCGAAAAATTTTATCCAAGAAAAATAAATAAAGAGTAAATATATTCGAATGATTTTACTTGAAGAAAAAAGAGGAATTTAAAATCGCCCTCTTCGTAAATATATATATATATATATCACTTATCATTTTTATCATCTATCAATTGTAAGCTCATTCTTATCTCTTCTTAGAAATAGAAATGTAAAAGAATCAAAAACAATTTAATGAATTCATACGAACTTACATAAAGTTAGACTGCGCCTGCGATATATATGAGAATAGTAAAAATATTGGCTGCATAATGCTGTATCCTAAATAAAATTTTTATAATTTATAATTTTTGATAAAAATTATTAGTTAATTTATATAAATCTTATATAAATATGAAAAAAATGGTTCAGTGGGTCAATTGCTCAATTCAGAGAGCGGACACTGAGATTCTATTGCTTGCAGGAATAAACCTATACAAAAAATCGAGTGATGCTGACGATTCACCTGTATTTCTATAGCCAAGAGACTCCCTGGTATACTTGCTCGGTACAATAAACCAGCGGAGCGAGTCTAACCAGAAATGGTGAGGGCTCTTACAAAAAAAAAGAGAAATTATATAGAAATAAATACTTTTGTTACAGTGGTAAAAACTTTTCTGGTTCGACAAAGCAGTAAATTTCGAAAGTAGTGAATATTCCCAGGAAAAAAGAAAAATCTACCTGCAATATATAATAAAAACCAATAATCTGTTGAATAGGTTGTTGATTTGCAAGTATACTTCCTAATAGATTACAAGAATCACCAATTATCCTAAATAAATGTCATAACAATTATCATAAATAACCTTTAAAAAACCAAAAATCCAATTGTACCAAAATTTGCACCAAATGCACCAAAATTTTGAAAATTACGACTATTAAAATAAGCAAAGCCTAAATAAGTTTGCTTCGAAATAATCGTTATCATTTATTTCCTTAAATGGTACTCCTTAGACGATAATTTAGACGAATTTTCCAGCTAAATTAGATCGACCTTAGAAATATGAAATGAACTTTGTGGAATCGACAGGTGACCGCTGATGATCCACTCGAGTTGGATGGATCGCTTATCATATTAAAACTTTAAAATAATTTAAAATTTCACATAAATAATTTTAAATAGTTCAAAAATATATCAAAAAATTCTTTAAATTAAATTAAAATAAACGATATAATAGAAAAACATTAAGTAAAAAGCAATAAAAATAAATAAATAAAAAATATAAAAATAATAAAAACTAAAATTACCAAAAAAGAATAAAATAAATCGATAAACCATCGCATTTTTTTCTTCGATAATTTTCAAGAATTTGTGGAATTAATGGTAAAAACCAAAGAAATAACGAAATAAAACCAATTAAAAATCCAAATAATTTTAAATTCGTATCGATACAATCGCCAAAAATCTATAAAAAAATAAATAAATAAATAAATTACAAAAAAAAATATATATATTTAAATTTTATATAATTTTAAATAAATAAAGGAATTTTTAAATTTCTTTTTAAATTTTAAAATATTTTATTTATTTTTTTATTTTCTTAATCTTTGGTCTTAAAAAAAAATTTGTTTGTTTTTTTTCAAAACGAAATAAATAAATTTAGAATAATAAAGAAGAAAAATTACTTGATAAACCCATTGTATGCCATGCGTACAGTTTTCATTCGAATTATTAATACGAAAAACGATTAATGGAACCGTACGAAATACGGGGAAACCCGTCGTATAATAGACGCCATTTTTAATAGTCATTTTTTTTTTTGAAAGGAAAAAAATCAACGAACGAAGGTTGCTTTCGAATCGAAAGCCGACTAATAGTAATTGTCAGCTTAAAGTTAAAGTTTTTTACGAATTTTTTAATTTATGTATTTTTTGATATTATTATTATTATCATTATTATTATCATTGCCTATTTTATCATTATTATTGTCATTATCATTATTTTTACTATTATCATTATCATCATTATTATCACTATTGTCATTGTCATTATTACTATTATTATTATTACCATTATTATTATTGTTATTTTTTATTATAATTAATATTATCATTATTAATTATTAATTAATATTAGCATTTATGGATATTAGCATTGATTGATACATAAATTTTTTTTTATTTTTTATTTTTCAATAAATTTTTAATTTTATTCAAAACTATTGGAAATAATTTATTTGCATTTTTAATGAATGTTTCGCCAACAAGTTTTCGTTCTTTTTTTTCATAAATTTATTTTTTCATTTATTTATTTTCATATATTTTTGTATAAATTTTTATTTTATTATTATTGCCATTATTATTGTTTTTTTTAATATTACTTTTACTATTGTTGCTATTAATAACTTTATTATTATTATTATCATTATTTTTATTGTTATTATTAGTATTATTATAGTCTTCTTCTGGCAACTCTCAGCCATTACTGGTTAGGCTGATTTTGCTGGTTGCAAGGTTAAGGCATCTCTAAGCTGCTCGGTCATCGCTTGTAATAATAGAAGCAATTCAGTTGCTTTTTCCATTGTCTAAGTCCATATATCACTTGTCCCCCTATATGTTCAAAATCCTTCCTGATTTTATCAATCCAGGTCTTGATTGGTTAACCTGGCTTTTGACGCCAACCACAAATAATAATGGTTTAGTAAGTAACGAAATATGCAATCATCTCTTATGGTGGACGATGGAAAACATTGACCAGCAAAGGCGACTCTGTGATAACATTATTAATGCAGATGGTATTTGAGCGAAGATGGATACAATCATTTTATCTATTTGGCGGATCCGTAGAATGTATCTTAGACATGAGTGGTCAAAGGCCAATGGCTTCTTAATATATTCCTCTTCCACTGGCCATATTTCGCAGTCATGTAGCAAGATCGAGCGAATTGTAGCTATATGGATGCGGATTTTTCTCTTCATAGTGATTTCGCGACGGTTCCATTGAGGTTTTATCAACCAGAAAAATACATTTTTAGCTCTCGTTATCAGGGTTGCAATTTCATCTTTTGCCTGGCCATTTGGGATTAGAGTGGATCCAAAGTATTTAAAATCAAGCACTTTCTCAACCGGCGAAAAACTGATAAAAATAGGTATTTTATCAGCATCTTATATATATATATATATATATATATATCGAAGGAGTCTATCAGTTCTTCACATGCACAGACCTGCGCCAGTGTATGTTGATAAAATGCCTTTCGAATGATCTTCGCTAGGACACCGTCACTTCTATCACTTTCTATCACTTTCTAGAGCACTGCTCTATCAATCAAATCGGAGATATTGTAAAAACGATAAAGCAAGTGACTGTGGGTTGCTGATATTTGAAGCGATATTCCAGCATTTTTCTTGCCGTTAACTGGTGTCTGGTCAGCAGAAGCGCATCCCAGTCTGAATAAGACGTATTCTGTTATTTAGTGTTGCCTTGAGTATTACGTTATTTCTATTTAGCAAAAGAGAAGCGAAAAATTTTCCGGAGGTGTTAAGTAGGTTGATTACTCTGTAATTGTCGCAGTACGTCCTGTCATCTATCTTAGAAATTGGAAGCGGAATTGCTTTGCTCCAATCTTCTGGTATTATTTCCTTTTGCCATACCAGAGGATACATTTATTGAAGGTGAGCTATGAACGATAATGGAAAACATTCGGCCCGAAGACCACATATAATTATTATAATCATAATCACAATAATAATTGTTATTATTACTATTATTATCGTTACTACGGCTAATTTAATTTTAATATAATAATAAATTTAATAAAATGAGAACACTGAATACTGAGTGCTTAACATATTTGGTTAGTCTTGCTCCATTGGCTTATCTGATAGATTGGTTATAAGGACAGGTTTTGTTAATATATAATAATTATATATATATATATATATAATAATTATATATATAATTATTATATATATATATATAATAATTAATATATAATAATTATATATACATTATTGCTTATATTTTTATGAAAACGAATCACGGCTATAATTATGCTTTAATAGCCTCAAGGTCCGATATTTAAGCTTATTATATTTCGTGAACCTGTCAAAAAAACCCTATGTTATATTCATTTCATATTTATTAATTTTTCAAAAGTCGTTTTCTTTTAATTCTCTCTCTTTTCAAGTTTCACTAAATTTCTTTTTAAATCCTCCCTTCAGAATTTATTAATCATTAAATAGGCAATTTTTGATGTTTTCATGGAATTCATCGAAAAAATTCTGAACTACGATTTTTTTTATTTTAATTTTTAATATATTATTTATATAAACTTATGCTATTTTATCGTTTCTTATCTATTTCTTATTTGATTTATTTCAGACTGATTTTAATGAAAGCGATTTAATGGAGAAAAAAGAAGAAGCTTCTGTTCATTTCGACAGTATTCAAAACAAATTATCATCTCGTTTGTTTTATTTTTTTTTTTTTATTTTCTTTTTTGGAAATAATAATATTTTTCTCAGTATTTCTAAGTTAGGCTCGTTCTACTCGCTCTATTGAATCGAATAAATTTTGTCGACGAAAAAATTCCGAGGGGATTATTTGAGAGCGATAGAAATATAGGTAAATCGCCTATGTCATTTTTTGAAGGGTAAGTTTATTCTTGGCGCTTTAAAATGATAGCACCAACCCATTGAGCCATTCAGGCCTTTGCATCCTAATGCATAATCCATAGGGTTTTTTAATTTCATACGCGTTTTTTACTGTGGAATTTGTAGAATTCCTTTATTTCAACAGTTTAAAATTTAAAGAGAAATCAACAAAAAGAAATGAAATTTTATTAGCAGAAATATCATCATTAATTAGTAATTCTACTTTTTATCTTTTATTTATATAGATCTTTTATTTTCTTAATAATTTATTTTTTGAATTATCTTAAGAATTTTTTTATAATATTTTAGGTTCGATTTCGATAATATTTTCGAATCGCAAAATGGCAGGTTTGTTTCCTTCATTTGCCTTCATTTTTTTGCAGAAATTCTAAAAAATTATAAAAAATAAAATCTCTGACGCCAAAAAATAACTGAAACTATTAAACTGTGAAAAAGAAATGGAAAAAAAGATGGGAAGAAAAATGATTGAATGGTTAGTTGTTGTTTTGGCTGAGAAGAAGCGTCAGAGATTCTATTTCAGGATTCTATTTAATAGAAGTGAACGATTATTCAAGTATCGCCCAAGAATTGCAGTTTATTTGATTTTTTTTTTTTTTTTTTTACAGCTCATTCTACAGAATCAGAAGCAAAATCATTATTAACAAATAATATTTCAAATGTGCGATTCAAGAAAGGATCGAATGATATTGGTTTTTCTCTCAAAGGCTTTTCGATGAATGTATGATTTATTATTGAAATTGAATATTATTTAATTATTTAATATTATTAAAATTTATAAAAAATTTAACAAATTTTCCCTAATTTTTATTCATTTGAAGTTTGTTTTCCTTTCTGCAACTTTTCTTCTTCGTGCACCATTGCTGGTTTGGTTTGCTGCGTTAGGAAAAGATGTTCCCAGACAAATAGTATTTGCTCCTTCTCCATTGAATATATTCTTTGCAGGTGGACTATTAATTACGTTGGGCAGAATTTGAAGAGTTCAGCTCGAAGACTATTCTCTCCCAGGATTTTATTGGCCTAAACTTCTGATTACAGAGGTTATTTCAAATGTGTTCCATTCATGAGCAGGATGTTGGATAGTCCTTTTTAGTTAATTTTAGATTCAAAACTTTCTTCATTGGGAGAGACGACTTATGATTGTTTTTCTATCTTTATATTAGGCCATTTTATTACATGTTTCTTGAGCGAGAACTGCTTTGGGGAATAATCGGAATAATTTTCGGTGGTCATCTATTCGAGTTTCCTTTTTTGTATCATACCATTCTTGAACCAGTTTTTGTCCATCTTGCTGTAACCACTACCCTGCAAATGGCATCTTCTGACCTGTGCTCTCTGGCTCGATGCGGCTCGATTACCGCTTTACCACTTCGTTCGAAACTCATCTTTTTTGCTTTTTTCTGAATTCTTTACTCTAGGGCCAATTTATTCAACTTCTGTAGATAAGAGACCATTATTTATTGGCGATTTCAGAGATGCCACTGTCAGTTCATTTTTGTGTTATTCAATTCAGCTTGAAAAATGCCAGTTGCCCTTGAATTTTATAGTATATGATAATCAAAAGATCTTGAGTGATGCTGGGAGATATGTCGTGCGAATTGTCAATTTCATCTGTATTTTAGCTTCAGCCAAAACATCAATCGGCCTATGGAATTTTGCATCACGAACGGTTGTGTAGGCCGATTCTTCCAGCGATAGTTGACCAGAATTTAAATTAACCTGGTTCTAATGTTGATTACTATGGAAGTTCTATACAACTAGTTATCTCCATGTTCAATATATATTGGTGGCAAGAAACCCCGCTTTTCAATAAACTGGCGAAAGAGTCCTCCAGAGTCTACGCTATATTCACTATTCATAGAAGACTGTAGGGCAATTTCAGGTCGTGTGCACATTTCAATATCCTACCATTACGTCGTTTTTTGATGAAAGTGCTAGCAGGTTAAGTTCTGCATAGGGCCTATCCTTACCTACCCTAGTCCATTCAACGTAGGAAAATAAATAGTAATAACCGAAATATTGCAGAACTTGCCTTTAAAGTCGGCTTTGGCCATCCGGCCATTTACAGAATCGCACACGTTTAGAGCTCTACAGGTCTGCTCATTATTTTTTAGAGTTGGCTTGATATTTTTTTTATATATTATTATACTTAAAATACTTTCTATTCTATTAAATATCATTTTTAGATTTGGAATAAAATAAATTGTTTGCAATAAATGAACAAAATATTTTAGAGTTATTGAAGTGTAGATTTTTACTAATAATTGTAGATTTTTTTCCTTAGAATTATAGAAATTTCGATGAAAAACAAAATTTTGCTTGAATAATTTCAGAAATCCATTTCACTAACAAAATTATCGCGTAATAACGACTCTAAATGTAGTTCATCGCATGATGTAAATGATGTGAATGATATTGCTTTCACTTCAAAAATTTTTACATCTACACAAGGAGAGATGTTATCTAAAGCAGGTTTGTTGTGAAATTGCAAATTACCTTTCATTATTTCGGATTTAGGAAAAAAAAATCGGATTTAAGTGATTGCTGATTGATTGATTATCTTTTGTCTTTGTAAATTGCAGGCTCCACTGAAACACTTTCAATTGGCGAGGATGCATTGCTATGTGAAAACAATACTTTATCAAATGAGGATATTGATAGTAATAATCAATCTACAAATATGACAAAAACTGTGAGTTATATGTTACTTATCAGCTAGCGTCTGAAATTTTTAATAACTTTTTTGCCGTAAAATTCTTTATTCAAAAAAAATTGATTGCCTTAAACCAAAGGCTTTCAAAAAAAAGGATTCATCGATTTCCTTCAGAAGAAATATTTTCTACCATCGATTCCTTTAGAATTTTTATTCTTCAAGATTTTTTATCGTATGAATTACCAAAAAAACAGAAATTTTTAAAATGTCAGCTAAATATATTTTTTGAAAAATCTATTGGGTTTTTATCCAGGAATTGGTATCTATTTGGTTGAATAAATTTTGTCATTTATCAGTGATTATCAATATTATTATCAGCATCAATAATATTACCATAATTGTCACAGAAATTTTTTTTTAAAAAAATTTTAAAAATATAGAAAGTATAAATTATATTGACAGGCACTGGAAAAGAATACTCTTGAGAATATTTTTTTCTTTAGTAATTTGAAATTCATGCGAAATTTTGAAAGAAAGTACAAATGTATTTTACTTATCGATCCTTCTCCAGGGAGTCTACACTGATTCCATTAGAAATCCCTGTATTCAAGTTAACCAATATGCTTTTTGAAATGGTGAAAGAGGATCATATTTGAGTAGAATATGGCACGATTTCATGCTACACTATTTCCCTCTTTTCTCCTTTATTTTTCATTATTTCATTATGGCATTATATATTTCACATTTAGATTTCTAAATTTCCACGTGCATATTTAATTATTTTTATTAATTTAAAAAACAGAAGAATATGCGTGTATTTTCGGATTGGTTGCGACTCATTGCGAATGGTGATGATCGCTCGAATTCTTCTGATCTTAACCATCAAAATCTTTTCATTATAAATTCACTAATCTCAAGGTTTATACTTTTTTTTACACTTTTTACAAATTTTTTTTTTATTACTTTATTATTAGAAATAAAATAAATATGAAAATAAATATGTTTATTTTCTATTTCAATTTATGTTGTTGTTTTTAAATTTAATTATGTTTCTATGAATTTGCAATTTGCCCAACTTAAAAATTATTTTTCATCATTTATCTAAGAAGAAAAATTATAGGTTTTATAATCTTCCATTTTCTCAACAACGTCTAACTTCGTTTTTTGTTTTAATTGGATTCACTTTGATATTGCCTGGTTTGATAATATAATATTTTATTTTATCATGCTTTTTTAATTTGATTGTTATATTTAAGCTCGGTTTTTTGGTTCTTTTTTGGTTTTTTTTTGAAATTTTCAATATTTAGAATTAATATTTAGAAATTACTAACTTTAACGTATTTTTATTTATAAATTTTTGAAATATTTTTATCAAAAATATTTTTCGAATAATTCAAATAGTTCCTCATTATTAATATTTTACTATTTATGAATAAAAGTATTTAAATTTTTTATATTTATGAATATTTAATTTTTTGATTTTCATTTTTATATAGGATTTATATCCGGTTTTCTTTGGGGCATCTATATATCCTTTATCAGCCTTTTGTATTTTTTTGTATCAGAGCCAATCACTAATAATGGTAACCATCATCGTAAACTTTCTGATTTGAAAATATCCGAAATGTGCGATATTGAAAAGGATGCGGAAAACGTAATTTATAAGGTTTGTTGATATTAAAATGTATGAAATTTTTATTTTTCTTGAAATTTATGTAGAAAAATTTTGAAAAATTAAATTTCATTTAGGGATGGATGAATGAATTATGTGGTGATTATGATCCTGATACATATAATGTGAATTGTGCTAGAACAGTTCTCATACGCATTGATAAGAACTGGATTAGAATTTCACGACCAAAGCGAGCAGTATTAAAACATGCTTTTCATACAGATCCAACTCATTCTGGTTCAGAACCGTCGATGTGTGAGCAAAGTATTCACGATTTAACTGGCGCCTTAGTAAGATGTGTTTAGATTTCTTTTATGGAATTGTTTTTATAATTCTGCAGTTTTTTTTATTGTAAATTAATTTTTTGTTGTAAATCAATGAAGCTAGCCTAACCAGAAATGGCAACCACTTATTTACTTATCGCCATATTATATTCTCGAAATTCGCAATTATTTAGTTTCGTAAAAATTTATTAAAGGTTGATTTGCGGCCTAAACATCTGGCTAAACGACGTTGGTGGAGTCGTAAATATCCAATTCATATTCGTTTTCCTTCTAAAACCAGAACAAAAATATTCGATACTTCATCTAACAAAACCCTTTCGATGGATACTTATCCATTAACTTCAAATGGAATGCATCGTTCCAATTCGGATTCTGTTTTAACATCGATGTTATCAATGTTATCTTTCTTTTTTTTTCTATAAAATACAAATAAATGCGATTAAACTGACACTAATCGTGATTTATTGACCAATTTAAATTTTTTTATTTTATTATTTTATTTATTTATATAATTGTTTGTTTAATTTATTTTATGTTATTTTCATTTTATTTTGGATTTGACAATATTTAATACATCATTGATTATCAGTAATCATTTATTGATATTTATCATATGTTTATTTCAGAAAGAATTCTGGTGGCAGTACGAGAACTAATCATTTAGGTAGTTGTTCTTTTTTTAAGATTTTTTTTCTCACATAAATTGCAAACTTTTTTTTTAGGTACCGATGTTTCTTTAGAAGAATCAGAAGGATTCGATCTTTATTTGTTTGCTCGTAGTCCTCGGGAGAAAGAACGATGGTTTCATGTGTAAATATTTTTATTCTATTTTATTATTCTTTTCAATATATAAAAGTATTCATTTATAACTATTAAAACTATTTGTATTAAGAAATTATTTTAGACTGCGTCGAGCTTGTTGTAAATATCGAAATGTTTTTAAGGGGAACGACAGTTCTGACAAAGGGCTTCTTGATACGGTATTTTTGTCAATTTCCTTTTTAAACTAAAGGAGGAATGACATTTCAATTTATTAAGCATTATTTATTCTGTTAATCAAAAAAAATGCAAAGGAATTTGGATAACCGGCCAAGTTTTTGAATTATTATTTTTTGAAGAATTTTTTAAAGAAAAGAATTTTTTTAAGGATTTCTCCACATCTGGTTATTGGATGGATTTAATTGGTCCCGAATCACGAGAGCGCAGGCTTTCTCTGTCGTCTCTTTTCGAAAAATCAGTCAGAGATGATGAACATCTGCGTTATCTTAGTAATCACATCCAATATATTCGGTAATTTTTAAAAATCTCTGGTAAATTGCATGGAGAATTTGAATGATTCTAAAGCGTTCTATTTAGAAAAACGAAATCTTTAAGGCTGCGAGAAGAAAAAATAAAGAGAGAAATTTTTTTCAATATTTTATGTTAATCCGATTTTTTTTTCAGATTTATGTCACATTTTAATAACATAAAGTTAGAAAATGCTCCAAAGCAAGAGTTGAATGTAATTTTTATGGATCTTGGACGAAACAAGTGGAAAGCAGGTCGCTGTGACACTGATTCACAGTTGCTTTTATCTATTAATGGATTTGCATCAAGGTATTATAACTTTTAGAGTTTTTTATTTTTTTAATTTTCCACATATTTTTGGTTGAATCTTATCGATCTGTTTATTTATTTATTTTTTCTATTTGGAAAAATATCTTAGGTTTTTTCCCTTTTTTTTAGGGTCTTTTTTGATTTTTGTCGTGATCCATATTGGTCGGAACAAGTGCGGCAAAAATTGCAGTCGAAATTGGCTACGATTCATGTACGATTTAATTTATTTAAATATAAAATTGTTAAAAAAATAACTTTATTTTAGTTACTTTATTTTTTAGCTACCTTATTTTATTGAAGTACTTGAATTATCAAGTCTCGATCTGGGCAGGACGTCGCCTTCGATAACTGCAGTTTATTCTCCTATAGTGGATCACTGGGGATTATGGTTTGATTTTGAAGTTCGTTATGTTTTATGTCTTATTTTTGATTGATTATGCCAATGTTCGATAGGCGACATGGAAAGTTCTTGTTGCTCAGATCATCGGCATGAGCACTGTCTTTCTTCCGACAGAAGTTAGCCAAACAATAAAAAGTCCGACTGGTGCTGGAAATCTCTTTTGTTTTTATTTTATGGGATTGCCTGAGAAATGTCTTGTCGCCATCGGAATAGCCAATAGAGTCTTAAAAACTCTTAAAAATACGATTTTCTCGTGACGTAAATCCATTCCATCTTTAAATCTTCATCTTTTAACATAAATAGCATAAGTGTCTTAAAATAATCCCAAAAAATGAAATGGAAGGCAACTAAGTGCCTGTTTTAATTTATCATGAGCAACTGGCAGACTGGTGCTGAATTTTATGACGTAAAATTTATCACTTCACATTTCAGATGGAATATCGAGGTGGTTTTCATTTGGTTATTGAAACAAAAGTAAACCTAATGAAATTAAAATCAGATCCACGTGAGCTTGAAAAAGAGGTTATTTTAGATTGCCTGTCATTTTCAATTTTTTAAAATGTATTTTATTTTCTTAATTTGAGCAATTTTTTATAAATTCGTACATAAATTCATAAATTTTCTAATTCAAATGCAAATTGAAATGCAAATAATTTTTTTGGAAAATAACTAATTTTTAGCCAATTTTCTAACATCAAATGAATTTTTTTCCTTTGTAAAAACTTAACTGTCATATCTTTCCCGTTTAAACTAAAAACCAAATTTAACGTCGAATTTGATAATTAATTCTACTCTAATATTTTGAAATTTCATTTTTTTGAGCTATTCAGATGCTATGGGTGAATTTTTGATTTAAAGGTAAATAAGCGTCCGAGAGAGGATTATTTCAGTCGATATTCGGATGAAAATTTGCCCGAGTCGCCTGAAACTAGTGCTGATGAAGATTTTGGTTCAAAACTTGAGAAGTAATGCTTTTGCTGAGTTCATTTTTTTTAGTGTTTTTTTGTACTTATACTGTTTTGTAAAATTTATCAAAATGGAAATATTCGTCTGGATTTAGGACCACGACAGTGAAAGAACGTCCCGGGAAAAAATTATTGTCAGTGGTGGATAAAATCGCTAATAGTAAATATTTTCAAGAAGCTTCAGAATTGAAACCAGTTAAGAAGGTAAGGAAGGAGTATTTTTCTTCATATTTTTTAGTTTTGGTTAAAATACTTTCATTGATTATCATATAATTAACTAAAATTAAATCATTTAACAAAAATAAAATAAAATTTAAAGTTTAAAGCTTTTAAAGTCTATGATGAATTTTCATTGATTTCATTGTTTGTGGGAAATCGAAACTATTTTAATTATATTTAAATTTTTTAAAATACATCTAATATTTTCTTTTAGTAATATATTTTTAAAAATATATTAATATTTTATTAATAGTAAATATAATAAATAAAATATACAATAAATATTTTTAAAAAATAAAATGTGAATAAAATATAATCGAGTTTTTGAGATTTTTAAAAAGTGAATGAGAATAAAACTGGATTACCTTATTTTTTAAGCACACACTATCATGGCAAATTGTTATGTAGATCAACTCCTTTTTCAGATGATGGAAGAAATTTCATCTACTCGTTTAATGTTAAATGTGGAAATAACTTTTCTCCAAGGAACTATGACCATAAATATTCCTCCTCCTCCTTCCGACCGACTCTGGTTATTTTTTAATTTGTTTAAATTCAAATTTTAAATTTTTCTTTAAAAAATTTAAAATTTTTTATCCAAAATTTTTGTGAAAATAGAATAGATAAAAAAATAAGTAAAAAAAAAACAAAATGTATTTTCATTTATTTTTCATTTTTTTTCATTCTTTTATGGATATTCTTTTACTTTATAGATATTTTTATTATATGAATATCTAAATTTGCGATAATTAAGGTATGCCTTTCGTCGACCACCTAAGATATCCATTAAATGTATACCTCAGGTTGGTGACAGATGTGTCGATATGACCTCCGTTTCTGATTGGATTGAAAACAAACTTCGGCTGCTTCTTGAAAAATGCCTTGTTTGTCCCAACATGGATGATATTATTGTACCCGCAATGAGTGGTAATGCTCTGCTAAAAACTGGCTATAATTTATGATGAATGTCATTTATTTATAAATTTATTTTACTCTTTTTTTTACTACGTTTACTTTTTTCTATAATACTAATTATTGGCTTGCATTGGAAGCTTTGCCGCGGGCTATGCCGTTTCTAGTGACTGCGATGTATTATAATATTTTATAATCATGTAGATTCTTATTTATTATGCATTATTGTCAATCATTCCTAGCTTTAATAAGCATATTTTGGCTTTAGGGCTTTTTTTTAAATATATTTTATTACAATACTAAAATATAAAATATAACTATTTGATTTTTGAGTATTTCTCAGTTTTGCCCAAAATTTTTTTAAATTTTCATTTCATTTCTAGAAATTTCTATTTTTTTTTGAAAATCATCGTTAGAAATATGCAAAGATAATAATAAATGATAAATAATGATAATACTTAGGCAGTAATGAGATAAATAGATAATAATAAGATGAGTATAAAAAAATAGATATGTTTAGGGAAATAGGTAATAATTAGAATAAAACTGGAATGTTTCTTTTCACACTGCTACAGTCATAATATAACTGTAAATTATTCGCTTCATATTGATATATAAAATAAAATTTGAATATATTTTGATTTTCGTTACAATCACCGATGGTATAAATTACTAGTGAAATAAACTACCATCGACTACTATCGACTATGAGACTACTATTATCAGTTATAATATAATTTATTTTAATATTTTGTAAAAAAAATTTGGAAAATATCGGAAATAATGGAACCATTCTATTTAAATGTCAACCTGTAAAATAGATAAATTATTCGAGCGTAAAAATAAATATTACTTTTGAAATTATGTAAAATATCAATAATACTTATATATAATATTAAGTATATATAACGAAGATCAAACACAACTATGGTACTTTATGGTACTAAAGGAGAATTTAGGAGAATGGAACCAATAAAAGAATTATTTGAAACGAGCAGCTTTAAAAAAATTAGAATCACTCATAGAATACAATGAAATATTTTAGATCTCTAAGGAATGCAATTATTGAACTTCTAAGAATTTTTTCATTAATCGCTGCTATTTCACTATTTATAAAAAGGTTGGTTGGCGTTGATTTGCACTAGCATTTTGGGTTGTCATGACACTCACTAGCCACATGCAACACGGAAGATGAATGTTACGGTGAATGTTGTTATTTAATCGCTATAGCAACAAAATTTAAATGAAATTTGCTGTTATTTGATTTTAGCTATTTTTTTTTTTTTGAGATTTTATTTGATCCATATATATATACATATACAATCACGGATTTTAGGTAATTTTTTATATCATTTATTTCTTATCACTTATATCATTTCTTATCACTTATTTATATATACATATAACGTTCATATCAACTTATGCATCATTAAAATTACAAGAACTCTCTCTATTTATGTTTTTAAAAATCCAATCTTATAAAATGAAAATATTTCTATGGTACTTTTTAATATTTTAAATTTCTATTTAAATGCAAATGTTTGATATATTGATACTTATTGGTACTAGTTTATTGGTACTTTGTTAGTATAAATATCATATACATGTCCCGAAAAAAAAATGATCGGCTTAGAATGATCGTCAAAAGTATATAAAAATTGAAAAGCATGAAATCATGGATTCCCATTTAATAATTTTTGATTTTTTCAAATTCAGATCTAATATCTCTATGAATTTTACTATTTCTTTAATATATCTAAATTCCTTTATCTTAACTCTTAGGTTTTTCAAATTCGACTATCCCTCTAGCATTTCCATGATTTTTTTTTTTTTTTTTTACAGCTGAAAGTCGTCGAGAAGATTGGAATAATGAATAATACTAGGCCAACGATTGAAAAATGGTCGAGAGAAGAGCTCGAAGACCAATTTCATAATATCTATCAGCAACTATTTGAAACCAAATTAAAATATAACGATATTGAGCAAAAAATGAAACTGTTAAGTTTTCTTCTTTTCATATAAAAAAATTATTAAAAAATAAAGCAAAAAATTAAAATGTAATTAAAATAATTTTATAAAGTTTTATTTTATAACTTTTTAATTTTATTTTATAATTTTATAAAATTTTATAAAATTTGATTTAATTAATATTCAATTAAATTTAATTTTATTTTATTAATTTAATTTAATTTAATTTTTATTTTCTATTACTAAAATTATTTTCTAATTACTTTAACTTTATAAAAAGAAGATAATTTATAAAAATTAATTTTAAATATTATAATTAAAAAATAATTAAAATAATTATGAGTCAATTATTTGAAGAGATAAAAGGAAATTAATTGTTTCTCGCATGGATCTTTAATTAGTCTTTACGGTCGGGGCAAACTTATTGGTTGTAGGTTGTATTTTCAAGTTCCATACTATCTATTTTTTAAAAATCCATATAATACTGGCGATTCACCTTTACTTCTATCGTTAAGCGACTCTCCATGGCAAAACTTCTATATTTTATTAAATCAGCGATATAAGCCTTTACCAGAAATGGTGAACGCTCTTTAAGAATAATTCCCCTGGTGGATTTTAATAGAAATTTAAAATTTTTGAAGAAGAAAAAAAGATTTCTAAAATATTTATATTTATTAACTTATTAATTCAGAATGTATAAAAATAATCAACGAATTTCAACAAATAAAAATAACGAAATAAGTGATTTAAAAATTGCAACACTTGAAAAGGAGAATCGTTTACTCACACAAAAAGTAGGTTGCATTTTCTCAAGTTCCATACTTAAAAAAAAATTAGGTTTTTAGGTATTTTCAAGTTCCAAACAGTTTTTAATATATTTTGTAATATATGCAGCAAATTGAATAGATAGATGATTATGTTCCCTGTTTTCTCGTCGGGCAGCACTGTTTATCAGCATGTTAAGGGATTTTTGCATCAAAACACTTGATGGCATTTGGAGGAGTTTAGGTGAATCCAGATTTTTTACTAATATCTATTTGCTCTTGTCAATGATGAGGCCCGAGTAATACTCGACATAAGAATCTGAATGAGGCACCTGTCATGCACCAGTGTATGGTGCTTTCTTTTTTATTCTACTTTGTATATATTCATATTGTTTAAAAATCGACGGTGATTTCGATGATATCAAATAGGTGAATATGATTTTAAACAAAAAATTTTGGATTATTCTGGATTAAGCAAATAAAATTTCTACGAAAATTTTTGAAAAGTCTTTAAAATCACCGTAAAATCACTTATTAGAATATTTCAAATAGTTTCAATGAGATTATTTATTGTTGGTTTCATTGGTTTTTTTTTTTTAATAAAAATAATGAATCGATTTATTTTTATATAATTTTTTAATAAAATTAATGAAATTAGTTAATAATAAAATTAATATAAGTTTAATAAAATTTTAATAAATTAATGAAATAAAATTTTAATTTAATAAAATTAGATTAACCACAATAATAATAATTAAATTTTAAAAGCAAAGAAAAATTTTAAAAATTTTAATAAAATAAAATTTAATAAAATTAATAAAATTTTTAATAAAATTTAATTAAATTTAAATTTAATTTAATTTAATTTAATGTTTAAAAAAAAATTTAGGTTAAAGTACTCAAAGATCAACTTCTTATGCGTAAGAAACCAACTTTTGTTTCGTATCAATCATCATCGGTAAGAAATAATAAATTTTTATGGATTAGTAAAGATTTTTTTTGGAGATTATTCGAATTATAATATTATAATCATTTACAATTTTTGAATACTAATTGCCCCGAGAGACTTCTATCTTTGATGCTTCGGGCGTTAATTAGCAAAAATTCCATGCATTTCACTGGTAGTTGTTCATTATGTGAGAAAGAAAATTCCATATTTGACGATCGTATAATTTGTTCTAGTAGTACCACAAAATATAGCATTGTGTTTAAGTAGGATTTACGATTTCTTCGGACTATGACGATTTACGATAGTATTGCTTACTGGAAAAGATGATTTGACTAGTTAACAAAGATAAGATTAGATAATAAATTTCAAATATTCGAATCTATTTATTATCACGATCATCGGTATATAGAAGTTGAGCAAATACAAATACAAATGATAAACAAGAAATTGTGGAACTTTAAGTAGATCAAAACTGGTTGCTCTTTATGATCAAAACTGCGACTATTCAAGGTATCCGAAATATTGCAATGATGTGGCCAGTATTTTTGCTATGAGCCAATGACTATTATTGTTGAATGGTTTCCCAAAAATAAAAAGAAAATTTCCCAGCTGCTTGAATCCGGGCGATTCTGATTTCACGATATATTGTTTTTGGACGGGCCATTTTCGCATAGCATCCATATATCCATAGCTATTCTGATATCTCACATCGGTCTTGCAGCATATCTGTTTTTCTCTTCAACAAACTTAGCTACTTCACCTGTTGGACTTCATCATCATTTATTTCTTGAGTGCGGTTCGCATATTAAAGATAAAATGCACCGAAATACCGAAAGCACCAGTTGATCTCTTTAGCATAAAATCATTGGTGAGATAGACAAACAGTTGCCTCCAATAATCACAAAAATTTTACTTTCAATGATAAGTTTAATCTTGCTAAGAAGAAAAATAAATAGAGTATATATATATTTTCATAGATTCGATGGTTGGTACCATATTTTTAGGCAGTTTCAAGCAAGAATCCAGCAACAACATTGAGCTATAATGATAAAAAAGCAATAAATCGTGGTGTGAACAAATCGCAAGCAACTGCACAAAATCTAGACAATAGGTGGTATCACTCTCATAATAATTTATATATAATAATTTCCTATATTACAAAATCTAAAAAGGGATAGTTAGAATTAGGATAGAGTAGAGGTACCGCGAAGCAATGAGCTGAGACCACCTGATATTTGCCAAAAGCCTTATATTTTGTATTATTCTTATATTGGTAAAAACCTCTTCGCGGTCCATTATACCCTCTAAATCTTGGGTTTATATATATTATTGAATTATATTATCTATTAATTTTAAATCCTAAAATATTGTCTAGTTCCCTCAGTTTATAAAACTCTCGTAATAAAGTTCCATAATTCCCCTAAGGCTTTCTTTTGGCATTTCCTATAATCCTTTAGGAAGGCCTGCAACCTTAATCTAGTAAAAAGAAGCCTTTAAGAAAAACTCGTTATTAATCAGTTATAATCCTCCATGCGTTTTTGTTATGCCCAAGGCGAAACGTATTTATAAGCGATAGACTGATAATTTTTGCGTAATTTTTGATTTCAGTCGAATTTCCATTGTACCATTTAGGAGATAAATCAAAAGAGATTTCGGAGATTCTGGTTGATTGACAGAAAAATTTTCTTCAGTTTAGTTCGACACTTCAAGATAAAATAATGCTTGTAAAATTGAATCGGCAGCTACGAGAGAAAACAGATCAATCTTCAATGCTTCAACTCAAATTGGAAAATTCTCTTCAAGTAATTTATCCGCAACTTTTTTTTTTACGTTTTTCGCTTTCTTCTAGGATTTTTTAGTTCGATTAGTTCCACAGTCTATTAAAAATTATTATATCCTCAGTAACCATTTGAATTTTATTCATTTTTAAAGCTTTTTAAAATAATTGTACAAAATTAAATTAATTAAATTAATAAATTAAAATAAATTAAAAATAAATAATAAATATATAAATATATAATAAATATACAAATATATAAATAAATATATAAAAATATATATAAATATATATAATATATAATATAATAAATATATAAAATATATAAAAATAAGTAAAATATACATTTTTTTTAAAAAAAGAATTTTAAAAAATAGTTTAATAATTTTTTTACGATGAATAATTTTATAGCAATTAGAGAAACTTCGTATAGAATATGATCAAATCGTTGCTGCTTATGAAGAAGCAAAAATATCACAGGAAAGCCTAAAAACTGAACTGGACACATTACGTTCAGAAAGCCAAAACCATATATCTACGAGTGACACTAAAGCTTTTCAAGAATTAGAAATAGTTCGTGAGGAAATTCGAGTATTAAAGGAAGCAAATGATCGTTTAGTGAACAAGTTTGCTAATTTTTTTTTTTTTTTTTACAAATCTCTCAAAATTTCTTTATTTATTTCTCAAAAAATATTTAATAAGCGAATTAACTAAGAAAATTTTAAACCTCAAAATTTTCAAAGCCAAATTAATTTTAGATCAATTTTTTTTTTTTTTTTTTTCATTTTTAGTTCATTATCAACGAAGACAATATTTGAATCTAACAACGATATTAATAACGAATTATATAATCGAATAGCTTTTCTTGAAGAGAATTTAATATCGGTCAAAGCAGAAAAAAATATTCTCCTACAGCAATTGCGATCTATTAAACACGAAAAACTGGAAAATTGCTTATTAAAAGGAGGGGAAAAAGTTGAAGGAAAAAAAAATGGTGAAGTTATGCTCAGCAATAATCGGATTATTGAATATATTGAGGATGGATCACAGGTCGTATAATTTTTTTTATACCATTCATTTCTTTATAATAAATAATGCGATCAAATAAAAACGAAAGTCCGCATCTATATTAGCCGTGTTCGATCTTGCTATATGGCTCTGAGACATGGCCAATGAGAGTGAAGGATATTAAGAAGTTATCTGCCTTTGACCACTCTTGTCTAAGGTATTTTACGATTCTGTCGAGTGGATAGAATATCACATGATCGCATCAACCTTCATTCAAACACCACTTGTATTAATAATGTTATCACAAAGCGTCGGTTTCGCTGGTTAGGGTACGTTTTTCGTCGTCTATAGAATTTGTCGCATATTTCATTATTTGCTAAACCGTGTGATAGATGGCGTCAAAAGCGAGGTGGGCCAATCATGATCTGGACTGGATACGGTCAGGAAAGATTTTGAACGTATAGTGGACCAGCAATATATGGACTTAGACGATTGAAAAAGGAATAGCTTCCATTACTGTCGACGATAGTATCATAGCGCGTCGCTTGGAAGCGTCTTACCCTTGTGGCCGTTGGAGCCAGCCTAACCAGTAATGGTGAGAGCTGTTGACAGAAAAAAAAAACCAAACAAATTCAAAAAAGATTAGTGATCTACTCGTAATTCTATCTCCAAGTGGTCCTTTAGCAAGATTTTACCTAGTGATTAATATGATCAGCCAGATTAGTACTATCGGAAGAGAATGAAATTCTATATAGAACTGGTGAATTAATACAAATCGCTAAAATGCACATCGATTCATCCGAAGAATTCCTTTTCTTTAACTTTAATGAGTTTGTAATTTAACTGATAAGATCCCAAGAAAAGAGCTATTTTTATCAATTTATCAGTTCAAGATTATCAGATTAGCAATGGCTAGTCCAATTTCAAATGAACCTTAATGATATTGTTTTAGAAGGATAAAAAAGTACAAGGTGCTTTAACAAAACTTTATGAAGATCTTATAAACATTGTTGAATCTCATTCATCTAATTTACGATCTGAACAAATCTTTGATGACATTATTCCTGAAGAAGAACAATTAGAAAGGTAAAACTAAAGGTTTCGTCCTCTAAATTATTATTTCTAATATTTTCTTCTCGAGTTTTTCCTCGAGTACCTTTAATTTTCCAAAAGTCGAAAATAGTTTGAGAAGACGTTCGAATATTAAAAAAAGGCCAAATGATTATTTTTAGTTCGATTCTTTTTTTTTCAATCTAATGATTTAAAATTATATTCGAACGATGTGAAAGTAACATTTCCGATAGGAGTTTTTTTTTCAAAAATTCGAGTCACCATTATTAGTTAAGCTCGCTTCGCTGCCTCGCTATTCATTCCAAGGAGTCCACTGATAGGCGATAGAAATAGATGTGAGTCGCCAGCGTCATTCGAATTTTTCCAACAAGCTTATCCTAAAGAGGAATAGAACCTCAGTATGGGTGCTCCAAACTGATTCATCTATTGTCAACTGATTGTCTGACAAAATTTATTTGACAAGCGAGTCTTATCAAAGATTATAAACTTTAAGACGATAGCAATTGCAAGAATATGAGTTTATAATTGACATTTTCCTAGGTGGAAAACGATGCATCGCGAAATGCAAGCTGAACTAGACAAACTCAATTATATGCTTAAAATGCAATGCCAAATCAATGAACAACAAACAAATGAGGTTACTACTGTTATCATTGTGATAATCACTATTATCACCACTATAATCACTTTTCTTCTCATTTCATATAATTTTAGGTTATTCTATTAAAACAAAAGAGTGCATGCGAGAAAGCGGAATATGAAAAAAAATATCATGATTTACTGGAAGAAACCAATAAGCGTGCACGAATTATTGAAGTGCTTAAAGGACAAATAAAATCTGCTATTTATCCTCAACAAAAATCCACTTTCTTTACTCCAGTAATTTACTTTTCTTTTCCATATTTTTAATATTTTTTTTGCCTAAAAACTAAAAAAAAAAAAAATTTCTTTATTATAGAAAAAAGAATCTAATAGTGGTAAAAATGAAATCGAATTACATTTGCATCGTGTAAAACTTACCGAGAATGCCTTATGCGTTTTTCGTTCAGCTAGGCCAACAATGTTTTTTTCAATCGAATTCTTCGATTTCGAACTTCAAACAACTCCAATGATTAGTGGTGCCGAGTTGGTTCTCATCATCTATTCAACTTTTATTTAAAAATTCATGGAACTATACTGATGATTTTCTCATTTGTATATTGTATATTTTTTTAGAGGTATTCTAAATTATTGGACAACTTATGATGTGATTGTGTCAAATTTACTCATTTATTATCTGGAAACGGTGTGATATTTGAAATGAATTCAACAGTAAAAAAATTTTTTTTTGCAATGCTAAAAAAATATTTTAAAAAAATATTAAAAATAAATATTTAAAAAAAAATATTTATTTTTATATTTATAAATATTTATTTTTAAAGAATTATATTCATTAACTGATAGATTAAATTAAATAAATCGCTTAAATGATATGATAACCGAATTGTTAATAGTTCAATTTATCGTTGATTAAAATCAACGATTATATAGAGAATAGTTGTTGCATTCGAAAGGAATAATGATCCATTCATATTTTCTTATCACCAAATGACTGATTGGCAAACCATCAAATAGCCAGAATCAGTAGATAATATATGATAATATTAATCATTTATTTTCTTATCAAATGATGATTTTCTTTATAGGATGGAATAAATATAGAATTATATCATCCAAAAGGAAGCAAATATGAATTGTTTGCTAATGGTTGTATACCTCTTAAAATTGTTCTTTTTGGTGAAAATAATACAAATTTTTGCGGTACATTATCAATGATTTCTACAACAGATGGACAACATTTCGCCGATCTTGACTATGAAATAACAATTAAAACTGATTTACTTGAAGCTATTGTCTTCCAGAAAGTAAACGATTCTAGTTAATACTTCATTCCTCTCCCTTTTTTCCCCTCCCCTCCTCCTCCTCTCCTCCTCCTCCTCCTCCTCTCTCTCTTCGATAATCATTTATCTCATTGTTAGCTAATTCTTATTTTATGAAATATTTATTTATTTTACAGAAGCATATGATTATTAATGGATGCCTTTTAACGACTGTCAAGGATTTTGTTGGATCCAGAGACAATCGTCTTATTATTTGTATAAATCACTGTAATAGACTGGATGCACTTCAAATTGGTACTTTTAACAATTCAATACAATAGACTTCTATATTAAAAAATGAAGTATGATAATATAAAAAGACAAAAATTTTATAAAATTAAATTTTTATAAATATAAATAAATATAATATAAATAAATATAAATTTTGTAAATATAAATACAGATAAATTTATGGGATTTGCAATATGATCTGACATTTTCCCTCCTTTCTATTTTTATTTTATTTTATTTTTATTTATTTTTTCTATTTTTATATTTTATTTTTCCTTTATAATAGTAATTTTTCTATGGAATTGACCTCATAATGACCTTATAAAATTTAGAAAAAAGCGTTCATTTAACAAGTTACGTTTGTTATGAACTAAAAAATTTGGAGAAAAATGAGATTTTCTCAACTAAAACAATAGCGGAAAATTTCAATCCGACATATAATTATATTGAATGTCATCATTTATCAAATTCTGAATTAAATACTTCTTTGGATTTAGCAGTAAGTTAAAATTATTATTTTTAATTATTACCTTACCTTGCTTGTTCACATGAATTTACATTAATTATGCATGGATTATAAAAAAATTAGAGAATATGCATGTGCAATTTTTTCGAGTGAATAATGAACATCGATTCAAATTAGCCCGAATTTGGGGTATTTTATGTTTTTTAAACAATTTTTTTCCTATAATTTCTGGTCTGATTTAATTTGGTCTGATTGTTCTGGTGAGCCTTATGTTGAGCCTCAGAGAATTGAGAATGGAAGACACACGTGGATCCTAAATTCATTCATGCATTCAAGCTTCATTTTTAAAGAATACTCTCACACGTCAAGTGATAAAAAATCGAACCCATATTGCTTGAACTCATTAGAAACAATATAATACAAGAAATCTTGATTATTTTCATGATTATTATAAAAAAAAATTTAATATTCTCTTTTACTTCATAAGTATCCTATTTGTTATCCTTAATTTTATTACCCGTTGAAACTATTCATACATTTTCCTAATCAGTTATCTAGCTGATAAACAAAGTAGATGGTTAGCGTCACCATTTGTATTTAGGATAGCTTTGCTGATTATTGATACGTTAAAAATTTTTATCAGACATCAAGAATTTTTGTTTTTTGTTGGCTCTAGTAATACAAATAGATTAACAGCAGCACTCAGATTTTTTTATACAAGAAGTTTATTGTTATCATGAGTAGAAACTCGTTTCAACACGATAAACTCGGTCGTTATCTATCCAATCGGCTTTTCCACTGATAATAGATGTATACACATATTTGGTGCTAAAAAATTTTATACTCACATAACTGAAGAGTGATTGGGATTGTAATGGATTTACTTGCTTTAGGCAGTAGAATTTAGCGTTTTTCAAAAAAGCAATATCGAAGGAACTAATGATAAATTACTCGCCGTTATCACCATACCACTGCATTCAATTAAGCGTTTCGATGAAATAGCTGGCACATTTCCGCTTTCTCAGGTTATTTTCTAAATTTTTCTTCATGCAGTTCATCTTAAAATTCAATAACTTCTTAAATAGTTCATGAACTCGTGATTACCTGGAGGATTTCAAATCACTGCTGATATTCGATACAATATTTTCATCTCCCCATAATACTCACTTTTAAGTCAACGTAACTCGCTCCGTTGGCCTGATGAACTAGTCAAATATACCAGGGAACCAATCCCTTGGCGATAAAATTACAGGTGAACCGGCATCACTCAAATTTTTAGACACATCTCCTAGAATCTCTCCTTTACTCCTGAAATCCACACATATTAATCATATTTTAGTTGGCCTTCTGCATTTAAAAAAAAAAAAAATTTTCCTGAGGATCACATAGAATTAATGCTATAATCGATAACCAGAAGAGAATCCCTCTGGTACAACTATGGGTTTCTTGTTTCATCCACAGGATTAAACATAAAAACATAAGCATTTAACAAACTTCATTTACAGCCAAATGGTGAGACAACAGAGGCAACAATTGATATTTACATTTGTTTGAGGTATAGCTGTGATCATCACTTCAATCAAAGCGTAAAAATTTTTTATTATTTTATTATTTCAAAAAAATAATTTTAAATATTCGATTATCAAATTGCACCTTTTCGTTTCTTTTCTTGAAAAATTATGAATATTAAAAAAATTTTTACAACGTTCTTTTTCATTTAAAAGAATTTTCCAGTGATAATTTAACGATAATCTATTTCTTTTTATGAAAAAAACATATTCCTGATAAAATCATATTATCATATCATTTATCATATATTTTTCAGGTTAATCAAATAGATAATGTCAATGAAAATAATTTAACAGATTATGCAAAAGAAATTCAGCAAATGCTACCTTCATCAACTACTATGGAATTAGAAAAATCAAAAAACAATGATTCCTCTAAAATTCCTGCGGAATTTAGCCAACCAAACTTAAATGATACCGATCCTTATTCAGACAGTGAGCAAAAGTAAATGTTTCCTCTTAATGTTGAAACAATTTTTAATAATTATTTCTTGCCTTCCCTTCTAATTTTGTAATCAGAACAATGCCGTTTTAATTTTTAAAATAGGAAATATCACGGAATAATGAAATTTATTAAAATTTATAATATTATATAATAAAATTTATGATATTACATAATACTATAATAAAATTATGAAATATTTGCATTTAGGCTTTCATCAGGATCGATAACTGAATCGATTTCAAGTTCAACAATTTTTGGACAATTTTGTGAAGAAATTCCAAATGAAAAATCACAATCTATAGAATCCGAAACGAATTCAGAGCTGATAAAGAATATCGAGGAAACATCTGGGAATAGTGATAAAGATATAAACGATATAGATAACAATCCAAGTACATCCTGTGAAGTATGCATGTGACAAATTTAAGCATAATCCTAGTGTAGCAAATCTTAGTATTTCACTTAAAATTTAAAGCAATGTTCGTCAAACGAACCTCTATGGTTCCACTGGTATGTGGGTGCCCAATTCTAATTATATCTTTTATTTTGAATGATAACAAATCACTTTTAGCTATTAATTTACTTAAAAAAGTATTTAAGAGTTTTCAAAGTGGTCTTTCATGGATTTTTTTTATTGCATCGTCTAAAGGATCCATGAAAAAAAAGTTCGTAGTTAATCCCAAATTAATTTCCCGTGGTTCCACGTCTTAATAATAAAGTAACAATAGAATTAACAAAGAAAATTTAACTAAATTTGACTAAAATAAATTTTTTTCCTATTGAAAAAGAAAGAAATTTTTTGTAGAAAAACGTTGAAAGAAAGGAACTAAAGGAACTAAAAAGTGAAATAAGAATAGAGGAGGAAGAAAAAAATCGAATACCTTTCGATGAAAATTATAAACCAAAACCAGCACCAAGATTTCATCCAAGAGTTGTCGAATTCGCTGATCCAATTCATTCCACAATTCCAATAGGTATAATTATAAAAATTATTTGAAACCGATCATTTCTAAAGTAATCACAATTTGGCTTAAAGGCAAATAATGCGGATTTGATTTTTTTTTTTATTTCTCGATGATAGCACACTTATCAGTTGAAGTGGAATTCGGATGATTTGCTGATGACCTAATTCATCTCCAATTAGTTCATTTAAGCTAGGATAAAAGATAAAAGATAAAAATTACGACCAACTGTAGAGAGGAAATGATAAGGTAGGATGATTGTTTTTTATGAAAATTACTTCGATAAAATAATATTTATAGGAAGAGATTCCTCAAGTGATCACTCAACTAGTGATGAAATTACAAATAAGGAAGAAGAGATACCAAAAGTTCGACGAATTTTACCGCCATTATCGATACTTAAAACGCCGACAACTGAAAGGACTATTACTGATGACCAGTGATAATCAATGATAACAATTTCTACTAATTATAATTTCAAATTTTTATCGCATAATAAAAATCTTATAATTTAAAAAGGATATGAAAATGATTTGAAAAAGAAGGATTAGAATAGAATTGATTCTTTCGATTCGACACTATCAATCAATACTATCACTAATTTTATCATCAAATGACTCCATGGCACTAGTGAAACAAGTCTAACGAGAAATAATGAACGCTACATATCTAAAATATTAAATAACTGGTGCATAAAATAAAAACTTAGTGGTCAATTCTGAGCGCCGACGCTGAGGTTCTACTCTCCGCAAGAACAAACTTGTCCAAAAATCCGAATGGTGCTTCTTATCGCCAAAGGACTGTCTAGTGCGACAAGCCGGCGGTCTAACCATTGATAGCCAAGCCAGCGATCTAACCACTGATAGCGAGGATTCTAAGAAGAAAAAAAAAATAACCTAATAAAAATAAGAATTTGTGATCGTTAAATACTTTCATAAATCTCATAATGAACGAGTTAAACGCGGAAATTCAAAAAAACTAAAACCATCGATCTGAAATATCAACGAAAATATCAGTTAAATAGAATTGTCCAATGATAAAATTTTATGAACGATCATAATGCTTAAATTATCATTTCCAGTTTTTAATTTTTTTTTGTTCCATTTGATTCAGTTTGAAATTATCAGTTTTATCAGTATTTGCATTGATATTAATTAATTATTCATATCGGAAACAACTACTATGTTAAAAAATATTGATAATAAAAGTGTCGGACTATCAAACAGCTATCGTAGATAACAAAAGAGCTAAGTAATTAATCGATCTTGAAGAAGGTTCATGCAAAAAAACGATGGACAATGATAAAATTCCTAGAACTTTGGCCTATTTTGAGATAGTAGAGAAGAATGAAGAGCCAAAACAACGACATTGGCAGATCGCATACAGATGATAAGGATGATAAGTCTGATAACTACGAGCCCATAGTGATATCAAATCTGAGTCTACAGCCATCGTATGGGTTTTATAGAAGAACTGAGTGTTACTACTAATAAAGTGTGGGACTTGAAGAAACCACAGCTTCACGCTCAGCCCTTCTATAAAACATTTTCCTACAGCAATCTTTATGCTCACCTAATTTTTTTTTTTTTTTTTTTCTTGATAAGCACCAAAATCCGCAGCAATTCCACCGATCACTTAATTGAAGCCTTAAAGCCCGAAATATTACTATACTATTTGTCAGTCGACAAATTTTGTAAGAAATTTCAGCTTTTCAGCTTTTTTAAGCTTTTATTGGTTGATTTTAGAAGTACGAGTACCAATAAGTACCAGTTATTGGTTTTACGTTTATTTTCATTTAGGTATTATTTAAAAATAGCCAAAGAATATTTTAGATGAAATAGGCCTTTCCCGGATAGGCACCGTGTGTGTAGTTTCTGCTTGAGGCTAAGCATTTCTATGAATGAAATCCAAGTGATTGCTAGAAAATCGATTTTCAACTTTGAGGTGATTCTCTGGTGAATGAGTCACCAAATGCGCCTTAGACTAATAATAATAATAAGTGAAACGAGACAAATCGTGAGAATTTTCATTTTTTGCGTCTCTAAAATTTTTTATAATATTTTATTTCAGTTTTTTTTATTTTTAAAAAAATTTTGCGGGTCTTTTTTTTTTTCTTCGTACTATGCCATCAAATTTACGAGTATTTTAATGAATGGCTACAATGTCCACGAATAAATGTGATAGCAATGATAATGATAACGATAATGATAGCGATGATAACGATGATAATTATCGAGTAATTTATTTTAAATTCTTTATTTTAATTAAATTAAATTTTATCATTTTTTTCTTTTCTTTAAATAATAATAATAAAAAGATGCCTTTAAAATATTTTCAATGAAACATTTGTGCCAATATTTTTATTTTTGAAAATAATATTTTCTAAAGCTTCAAAATGAAAAAAATTTTTGATTTTTGTCGTTAACGGTACAAGTTTTTTTTAAAAATATTTTTTATAAAATTTTTTATTAAAAATATTTTTTAACGATTAACGAAAAATATTAACGATTTAATATTTTAATAATTTTTTATTAAAAAATATTTTTTTAATATTAACGATTTAATATTTTTTTAATTATTGTTATTTTTTTATTATTCCCTTTACACGAGAAATAATTATTATTATTTGATTTAAGTTGCAAAAAGATGAATTAACGGTTATTTCAAGTATGTATTCGAGTTCATCCGATCAAGTCGACTATAAAGTTATTAGAGATGGAAATGAACGTAAAATCGAAGGTTTTATTTCTATTGTTTTGCAGAAATTTGATATTCCAATCGAAATTTCTGGCACAACTTCTCGAGGTTCATTTTGGAAATTTTTTCTTATTTTTTTTTTGCTAGTCCTTAATTTATAAATTTATTATTTCATAATTCATTAATTTTTCAATTTGAGAATTTTTTTTCATTAGCATTAGCTTTTTATATTTTTTTTTATATGATTAATAATTTTTATATGATTAATTAAGTGAACTATTCGTGGCATATTTCGAGAATTATTCCCTTTTCTTTTCACTTCTCAGCTTTTCAAAAATTGTTTGTTCTTTAAAATGAAAAAAAATTTTCGACTTTAGCGGTACGAATTTTTTTAAAAATATTTTTTATAAAATTTTTTACAAAAATATTTTTTAAATATTAATATATTATTTAATAATTTAATATTTAACGTTTAATGTTTTTTTTAAACGTAATTTTATTCTTCCATTTATATATTAAATAGTATTTAAGGAAATGTAAATTAGTTTTAAATTTCTGTATTTTATATTATATTTAAGAAATTATTTATTTACCAACATATGAATTTATAAATAATTATATAATATCAAGTTGGCGTGATAAAGATTCGATTGATAGAGAAAAATTAGGCCCAGTTTTATTGAGACGATTCTTTATGATGTTTCTTATCTCTCAATACCCAAGAACAGCATGCAAACTAGATTAAGAGCTATTGATTTAGTTGATTTGATGTGAATTCTTATGCTTTTATTTTAATTTAGACAATTTTATTATCAATTTTAGTTTTAATTTTTCAAGTTCTTTTATAAAATCCTAATATGAAAATAAAAAGAAAAACTTCCAAATTCCAGTGAATTATTTTGTTTTGTTTATTTAGTTCATTTTTTTAGGTCGGAAAACATTAAAAGTTGAATATTTATCACCAATTTCGTTACAGTTTCTTCTTCCTCACGACTATCCATCATTTCATTGTCCAAAATATTCTTTGCAAGCGTTGTGGCTAAATTCAAAATTAGTAATAAATTTTGATAAATTTTTTGATAAATTTGATAAATTTTTTTTGTTTAAATTTTCTTTATTTCAACTACAGGAGAAACGATTAAAAAGGCGTCTTGATGATTGTTGGATTAAGAATATAGGCGCACCAATATTATATCTATGGATTCAAACAATTGAAGAAGAAGTTGTTAATGCCATGAAATCGAATCCTATAATCGATTTAGATTCATTTATGAATGTGGATCAAAAATTTTCTAGAGTGCGAGTTCTTCTGAATTTATTAATCAATCTTTTTAGCATCAATTAATTAAATCAATTTCAGATCAGTCATATATTGAGAGAAATAATGGATTTTGATGAAAACGCAACTAGAAAAGAATTCGAAAGGAACTTCCATGAATGCGGGGTTTTGTTTTTTTCCATGATATTTCATACTTTTCGTGCGTTCGTTAATTTCAGTAATTCTAAAAAATTTTTAAGGTATGCTGGGAGCTAAAAATTGGATCTGATTTAATACAGTTTTTCCCTTGTAAACATATTTTCTGTCAACAATGCACAACTGCTTATTATAAAGATCGTCTCAAGAATTTTACGGTTAGATTAGTTAAATTTTCCAGTGATACTATTGGTAAAGCATTTTTATAAAACATTTGCTATTGCGAAAATATTTTAAAATTATTTCTATTTTTGTTCAGATTTGTAGACTGGAATGTTTGGAAGAAAACTGTAATAGCTTTGCTAGCGATGAACAACTTCGTCTAATTTTAAGTGAAGAAGAACGTGAACGTTATGATCAACTTCTTCTGGAAGGTGCCTTGGATTTAATGGCAGATATCGTAAAATGCCCGCGAAAAACTTGTAACGCACCTATTTTAGTGGAAGAAATACGAGAAGGATCATCTTCAAGGTTATTTTGAGATATTTTCCAATTTTGTAGAGATCTTATATACTGGAATTTTCTAAAAATAGAATTTGGAAATATATTGCTTTTATATCTGATTTTAACTCCTTTATTGTAACTAGTAAATTTCTTATTACAATTAATTAGCTATATAATTAATTATAAAAAACATAGGTTTTAAAGTTTACTATTTTTTATTGCTCCTTTTTTGGCGCTGTGGTTCGGGTTTGAAAGCTTATTTCGCATCGTACAGGTTTTAAAGTTTACTATTTTTTATTGCTCCTTTTTTGGCGCTGTGGTTCGGGTTTGAAAGCTTATTTCGCATCGTACAGAGAGAAAATTTCTTTTGACTGTTTGTCTTCTTTTTTTTAGGGCTTTTGTAAGTAATTGGTCCAAAATGAGTTTTTTCATTAAGTTTGGTTTATGTTAATGGTATTGCAAAATTTTTAAGTAAATTATTTAATTAAAACTTTTATTTTCGATATTTTTTTATAGACTTTCAACGCTAGCCACTTGTCCTTTATGCGATTTCTCATTTTGTACATTATGTCAAAAAACATATCATGGTTTGGCTCCATGCTCTGTTGATGAAGGTTGTTTAGTTTTTATAAGAAATTTGTAGTTTTTCTTCCGGTTTTCTTCTGGTTTTTATTTTCTTTTTTTTTGTAGAAAAACGAGATGAACTACTTGAGAAGTATTATTCTGCGAGTAATGAAGAAAGAGAATTACTTTACAAACAATATGGCGGTAGACGTATCTTCGAAAAATTTATTGAAGACCAAGAAAGTGCCAAGTTTATTAAGGAATCTACTAAGCCATGTCCAAATTGTGGTGCAAATATACAAGTATATTTTTGTTGATTATTTTTTATAGTTGCTCATAATTTTCATTCTGAAAAGGTTATTTCAATTAATTTTATATTCTCTTTTTATTTTATATTTCGATAAAAATTTTATTATTCTTTAGAAAAATATGGGTTGTAATAAAATATATTGTACAAAATGTGGCCGTGACTTCTGTTGGCTATGTAATGCACAGCTGAGTTCAACTAAACCTTATGATCATTTTAATATGCCAAACGGTTGCTTTAATCGTCTATTTGAAGGTAGTAATTGCTTTTTTGAATAAAATTTTTTAATCAATTTGCAATTTAGATATTATCGAGTATATAAATTAACTAAAAATTTATAAATTGTTCGTTATTCATGTCATGTTTAAGCAAAGCAACTTGATTTTCAAGAATTAACTATACCATGAAAATTTTGGTGATCGCTGACGATCTATTTATTCTCTCTATCCTCAAACGATCCACTTGATACTCTATTACTCTATTCTATATTAATTCTTTAATAAAAATTTTTTTAACAGGTATTGAAATTAATTCCGATGAAGAAGAAGAAGAAGAAGAAGAAGATTTTGATATGAGAATATTGCTTTGATTTAGATCAATTTTCTGGGATTTTGTATGCGATTTTCGATCATTTTGTTTATTCTTCTGCTTTTCTGTGCCTAAATTTATTTTTGATTATGTAATATTTAAAATATCAATTTAAAGAATATATAAATTTTTCAAAAACGCCTCTATATTATTTCATTTAGTATTTTGAAGTACATTGGCTGTTTTATTTCCTTTATTATTTTTTTCTTTAGTTTAAATTCAGACGATATAATTTACATTTCAAAATGCATGATTAATGATTAGGTGATGAAAATGATGGTGATCATGATTTCCTTTTGATATTCCAGTCATTTCATGAAAAAGTACCCAACATGAAAAATATTTACCTTGTACCCAAAGAGTATGATCCTATGGTAACATTATTTTAATTTAGTCTCTTTTGCACGGTTTTAGCTGTTTAAACTCATACTCCAATTTTGTAGTTTTTGTAGTTGACCACACAAGTTTATTATTTTTCCTTAATCCCATCAAACATCATAGTGAATTCTTGCTATAGTTGTAGCTAAAAGTTTAAATTGTTTTTCACAACGGATGAGACGGCGGAGAGTGAAAGGGATTTTGACGGGGTTTCCACTGGGGAATTATGGGTGTTACGAAAGAATAATGGCGAATGCAGTGCGGGAGAATTTAAAAGGGAGTTAGGGGATTATAAAAAGGAAAAAGCTGGTTTCATGTTGCCTTTCATTTTATTAAATTAAAAAATAAGGTTAGGGAGATCGGATCCTTTTTCAAATTTATTTTTGATACGCTATAATAGCAATGTATGACGGAGAAAATTCGCCTATTTTCAGCGAATTCGTCAAATTTTTCTTGGAATTCATTCCAGTTCTTGTTAATTATCTCTTTAATTAAAAAGCGTTCTTTATCCGTTTGAATTCTCTTGTTATTCTTTGGTACCTTTTTTATCCTCAAAACTCCAATTCATCTTATCATATTGTGAAAGTATTTTCGGTCCCTCTTATCAGACGTCTTTATTAGACGACTTCATACGGAGTATCTTTATGCCCACTTAAATATAGTTCTCAGGCATTCTCGTAGGCTATTCAAAACTTCCTATTTGTATCAATAGGTATAAGTGAAAAACATGGATTAATTGGCAATGCTTAGGCCCATGTGGATATAACTGGACAGCGTCTTCGTTTTTAGTATGAGGTTTCTTAATGTCTTCCGATTTCGCTGGAAATATTTCTATAAGCCATATAATGGGCTAATAGTCACCGCAGCTAAACAAATGAGAAATAAATAATTTTATTTTGGATACTGATATCGTGTCCTCCATAAAGTTATCGCCAGAGGAAAGAAGGCACTTCTAATCATTTTGCTATCTTATCTTATTATCTGTCAGCTATCTTGGCTAGGCTAAAATTTCGATTTTCGCTTGGCTATTTGATATGAGAATAGGTCTAAGATATTTGAAAAAAATATATTTATTTTTAGGTTTATTTTTTAATGGGTGGTTGGAAATTGGAAGTTGGACGATTTGTTGGACTTGTCAGTTTCCCAGTTTTTTGCTTTTGGTTATTTAATCAGCCAGATATTTTTAAACGTTTCGTACGTTTAAAATATTTCTATATTATATAAATATTATAAATTTTTTTTTTGCTAATAACACAAAAAATATTTATTATAGAAAAATTTTGTGCTGAAAAAGCTACTCAGTACTGATAATGATTATCAGTGATTATTGTGATAAAAAGATCCTCTCGCGAATGGAAAAGGATATTTAATTACAGCATTTCTATTCATTTTTAGGTGAAAAATTTTGGCGGTCAGCAGAGAGAAAAATCTGAATTTGAAAAAAGATCTGAATTGGTACTATCAACATTTAAGGAATCGATTAAAGAAGAACGTCGACAACTCGAATATGAGAAATTTCTTCGAGAGCAAATGGAATTAGAAAAGATTAAAAGAGAAAAAAAATAAATGATCTAGATGGTACTTATATGCTCACAAAATTCATCGCCACTAAAGTAAAGTATGCTATCTATCGAGTTTGACCTATTTAAATATTTATGTACTATGCAATTTTTCTCTACTTAATAGTCATGCTTTTTCATGCAAATATTTTAAAGAAAATTGTAGTAAGCTACCTCCAACTCGATAGACCAATTATACTTAACTGTGGTACCACAAATTTCTTATAGGAATAACGCATTACAAATTTTATTCTATAGAAATTTGCATATTTTATTATTTTACTTTATTATATACTTTATTATTTTATCAAATTTTGATTAATTTTATTTTCTTGTTAATTCATATTAAAAATATTATCATATCAAATATCATCTTCTCTCCCCGTTAAAAAAATTTTTGCGTTTCACCTCAGCGAAACACATTATTCATTTGGCAATAAAAATATAGCAAAACTGCGAGCATCTCTCGGATTTTTTGAAGATAAGTTCCCTCGTATGAGAGAAGAGGTCGAATCCTTACCTCTCAACGTGCCCAACTCGCCTACTCGGTCCTCTGTTTAAAATGAAATAATGGAAAAAAATTTTAGCATAATTTAATCAAAATTTTTCTTAGAAAATTAAATGTAAAAATTAAATAAAATTAAATTATTGCAATCAATAATAGATAAATCTCGAAAGATCAATCTGATAAGAGCCTAGATTAACTACAGAAAAGCCTATGAATCAGTACCCCCCCCCCCCCCCCACACACACATACACACACACACGGATCTGTGAATATCCGATTCTACACGAAGTCAACAGGATCCTAAAGATTTTCATTGAAAATTTAATAGAATTGTGGAAAATCACAGGCAGTTATCTGCTCAGTATATGGCTTAGACTTTCGCAAGACCAGATGGGGGATTTTCTAGAAAATCGTGGAGAATAATAAGACGAAGATAGGATTTCCTCATCCAGATACACAAGCAAGTGACCAACCAACCACACATCAATGATAGATATAGTAATAGAAGGTGATAGGAAAAACATCAAGGGAAAAGGAATATGAGAAATATTAGGAACTGAGAAGGAACTAGAGAACCGAAGAGAAACCGAGAGAAAATATGAAAAAATGAAGGCCAAAGCACGAATTGTGGTGGAAGCATTGGTATTTGTGAACTGGAAAAGTAGGCTACAGCAGACTGCAGAATGTCCCCCCCCCCCAAACCTCTTATCCTCCAAAAAATATCCTTTAAAATTCCGAGAACAATAAAAAAATGATAAGGATTCGGAGGGAACACAGAAATCTTTGAAAGAGTCGAATTATCATAGCTGGGGCGAATTTTACACGAAAAAGTTTATTATTGGACGACTTTTGCAATAATGACTGCATTTTCCAAGAAGTTATGAATAATTGGAGGGGGTTGGTTGGGGAGGTGTTCCGTATTTAATTTGGGTGTTCGCTGCTTGCCGTTTCTAGTTAAATTCGATCCGTTTGTTTTAATGGGGAGGGGTTCCCACCCCACCGGAGAATTATATGGAAAGGGGGATGAAAAGGTGGACGCCGCACTATAATGTGGCCTCTATGGTTCGTATAAGAATGAGTATAAGGAAGCAATTTCTCTTATTCGTAATATTTAGAGAGAAAGCCCGGCTTCACGTGCTGCATTGAACTAGCAGCCATAGCGTACTTTGGTCCAAATAGCCTTCAACATTAGCCTTCAGGTTCTTCAACGTGCTTACTCCTTAGAACCTTAGGGACCTGAGCAAAGATTTTTCTACTGTGTTGCTTCATTCAGAGAATTAAATTATATTATTTGTTCTTTTTAAAAGTTTTATTTGATTTTATTTTACTTTATTTTGTTTTGGAGATAGGAAATTTTTATTGGAAGGAGGATTTTGAAAAATTTCGAAATATTTTTGGGCGAAGTTAAGAAATAAGGAGAATTTTTTAGAAAAATATGCACTGTAATTGAAAAAATATTGGTTCTTTTCTTTCTTCAAAAATGCATGAAATATTAAAATTTTGCTTGCGAAAGGTCCTCGTCTTATCTGTTAATTAAGCCATAAATGGTGCATCTCGTTTGAAAAAATAGAAAATTTTGAGTTTATTCTAATAATTTTTACATACTAATAATGTATTAGCTTTTAATTATTCGAAGCATTTTTTATTTAGTCTTTATTTTTAATGTAATGTAATTTTTTTAAGCTAAAACTACTGAAGAGAATTCGATTTTGTTTTCTTTTTTTTTTGCGCATTTTGAAATTGAAATTCTTATAGGGTTATACATAAGCGATTATAATGGATAGAGGACAGGAAATGTTTAGAAAAGCCATGGGCAATGCAAAAGGATCCGCTTTTGGGCTTGGATTGGTTGCTGCTGCTGGAGCCGCTGCATATGGAATAATGCAGTCAATATTTACTGGTATGATCACTGGTTAAAAAAAAGTATAAATTGAGTATCACTGCAAATTAAAAATAAAAAATTTGTGGTGTGACTGTGTAAAATGAGAACTCGTACTTTTATCGCCAAGCAACTTGTTGGCGAAAATTTTTAACCTTATTAATTTTTAACAATTAGCTTAACTAGAAAATAATATTATAATTATAAATTTATTTTATCCTAAGGATGATATATAATCATTTTCTTCCTACGTATAAGGAGATTGCAAATTTGTTTTATCTAGCCTTGTCTTGCTGCTATAGAATAGATTTAGGCTATTGGACTATATACCATGTTATTTTTCAATAAATTCCTCGAAACAAAACAAAAAAATGAAAAAAGAGCAGGGAACTCAGCGCTTTACTGTTGTAAAGTTTCTGATTCTTGGCGAAGTGGTGTGCAAAAGTATCTATTTTAACAGATGCCAGTAATTTCGCTTGATTGCAGTAGACGCGGGTCATCGTGCAATTATGTTCAACAGAATTGGCGGAGTAGGTGCAGATATCTACAAGGAAGGTCTTCACTTTCGCGTTCCTTGGTTTCAGTATCCCATCGTTTACGATATACGTGCACGGCCAAATCAGATACGCACTCCTACCGGCAGTAAAGATTTGCAGGTATTTATCAATCTTTAACAAAAAAATTTTTGAAAAACATTCTTATAAAGATATGGAAAAACACCGTCTATTACCTAGTGAAATATTCATATTTTAGACTGTGCATATTGCTCTTCGAGTTCTATCACGACCGGACCCAAATTCACTTCAAAAGATTTATCGTATGCTTGGACAAAATTGGGAAGAAAGGATATTGCCTTCTATCTGCAATGAAGTTTTAAAAAGTGTTGTGGCTAAATTCAATGCATCTCAACTGATAACACAACGTCAACAGGTTTCACTACTCGTCCGAAAGGGTCTTTATGGTTTGATTTTTTTCTTCATCTCGAAATATTCGTTTGTTCTTTTAAAAAAGTGATTCGAAAATAAAAGAATTCTTGTTAATTTAATTTAAATTAATTCAAACTTATTCCTAATGCTTCTTTTTGCTTATTTTAGAGCGTGCGCTTGATTTTAATATTATTCTCGATGATGTTGCTATAACTGAATTAGCCTTCTCATCGCAATATTCAGCTGCTGTCGAAGCGAAACAAGTAGCTGCACAAGAAGCTCAAAGAGCTTCATTTCTTGTAGAAAAGGCGAAGCAGCAACGTCAAGAAAAAATTGTTCAAGCTGAAGGAGAAGCGAAATCTGCTAAACTTGTATGTTTGAGATTTTCATCGAAAAATATCACCAATTGCAACGTCGTCAATCTTGCGAGTGGCACTCAACGTTATGCCATTCGTGTAAAAGCGACGAAAAAAAAATGGCGCTTCTAAGCACTAGTTCAAAAAATGGTATGGAACTAGGCAAAAATTTAATGCCTACAGTTGTTTATGAATATTTTCTATCTTTATAAATGAAGAACTTGCAGTAATTTAATTCAAGTTTTAGTTGGGAGAAGCTATGAAACAGGATCCTGGCTTTCTGAAACTCAGAAAAATTCGTGCCGCTCAAAAAATCGCGAAAATAATTTCGGAAGCTCCAAATAATCGGGTAATAATTCATTCAGTGCTTCATTTTATCGACAAAAATTTCTTAGTTAGTTCTTAATTAGTGTTGTAATTTATATGAGTGAATCGTTTTTCAGGTCTATTTGCCTTCTGGTGGATTGATGTTAAATATAGCCGATTCGGACTATCTAAATTTTGATAAACAAGGACCATCTAAATTTTAAAAAATTTAGTTATTAATTTTTTTTGTTGGCGTTTTTATTTTATTGTTTATATTTGTTCACAGTTATATTAATAAAGTATTGAAATTTTTTTTTCACTGCAAGAAAAATACGAATATGAACATAAAAAAATTCAAACATCCTATAATTTTTTCTTCATTTCATGAAACTTTTAATATTATTTCCTCTTTAAAGCAGTCTTTAATATCGTTGAGAACGGCCCAACATGGTAACATACTCAAATCAATCTGAAAAAAAATTTGAATTATTCGAAAAATTTACGAAATTTTTTAAAAATTTTTAGATAAAAAAATTCAACCTGAAATCGATTATCAACCGTCATTCGACAGAATCCAAGACATTTTTCACCAGCGGCGGTTCGTGAAACTCCTTTCAATTTACAGCATGCTGTATGATCTAACTTTTGCGCTGCACACAACATTAAATCTCTTCCATGATTTTGTGGGCATGGATCACTTCCAATAAACATCGCCATCAACTTAAAATATATTTTCCGAATTATTTTTTTTTTAAAAAAAAATTTTTTATTTCTAGAAAATATGAAATATGAGGAAAATTAGTTATTTATTAGATTTATTCGTAAAAAGAAAAAAGGCAATTTTTTCATATTTTAGATTTTAGTCCAATACTATTTATTATTTGACTTATTCGAATTTTTTTCAGGCTATATAAAGATGGGAAATGAAGTATGGGAAATGTTCTTTCTTGCCTTTAACGTAAATCCTAATTGTAAGTGTTTTCCAGTAAATTGAATGATAGATAATTAACCACTCTTCTGCTGAGAATATCAAAATTGCAACGAGATTCGCATTTGACGTCCACATTTCGTTCTTTGCAACATTTCAAGAATAACGCATTTGCATCCTATAAATATATAAATTTATTTTAGGCCTAACGAATAGTTAAATGAGTATTTTTTTTTAATTTTTATTAATAAAAAATTTTATGATAAAAGAAGAAATACATTATCATGAATCAATTGAGTTCCGTCATCAATTTTGCTAATCGAATGTGTAGAATGAATTCGTCGATTAGTAGCGATTTTAATTGGTGTTGTTAGAGTTAAGTGATGTCCTTGTTGTTCGCTTGAATTGAATCGTATTTGTAACGATTGAATACTTAAAACTTGGCGTGAATTTAGCAGGTTATAGCATAAGGTTACAAAAATATAAATTCATTCATTAGTTGATAAAAAATTTATTGATTTAAAGGTAAAAACAGATGTTTTTTAAAAGTTTTACAAATGGTCAAAAATACATGATTTGTTGTAATGCAAAATTTTGGCGGAAAGAAAGAATTTTCCCAATTCTATATAAAAGTTAATTTCATATTTTACATCGCTGCTTCACTCTGACATGGAACTTCTTAATCCGGCGTCCCAGTCGGCATAATTCTGGTATGCGATATTTTCTAAGGTAGGTTAGATAAGAGAGCCTTGCTCAAAGTTCCCACTGGAAAAGTTGCTTTTGGGCTGCGATCGAACCAAGATGTTATCAATTTAGTGTAAAAAATTTATATATTAATCTTTTGATATGAGATAAAATGATCAGATCATTAAAAATGCGGTCTAATTGATTTATCCGTCCTGTAGCCAAGTGGCTGTCTAGTAAAAGGGTCTCAACCTAATTGATAATCAGTGGAGACAATTAGTTCTATTGCAACTTGGCCCAATTATTAGCATGATTAAGCAAACCACTAGTTCTAGCTGATTGGGCAAATTATTAGCATTAGATAGAAATTTCTCCAATGGAAATAGGAAATATAGGTGAATCGCGAGCATTATCAGGATTTTCAGGATTTTTTGCTGGCGTATTAAATCCTTTCAAGGGCAACACGATGATTTACCTATCCTATCTGTCTCCTTTAAAATGATTTTAACCGAATCAAAATCATTAAACAATAGATTAAAAATAGAAATAGAGGATATCCTGCCTCTTAACTAACCGGTCGATTTAAAATAATTCTAAAAAAAGCCACAAAAAATCGAAATGGTCGAAGATTATATGACCAGCAGAAGATGGATACAGCATAAATATCTTTATCTTTATCCGATATCTTTTAATTCAACGAATTCAACGAATGTGAAGTATTTTTGATAAATGATAATGGAAAATGATAAGAAGATTATGAATTTCAGTGAGATAAATTCAGACCTAATTGTTTGCGATGTTCTACGCTGTGGTGTGATAATATTTTTTCGATTAGCCAAATTTTCTCTTATAAAATTTCTACTATTCGTTATATTGGAATTCATTTTTGATAAGCGATTTATTCGTCGCCAATTTCTCGCATCTGATTTTTCAATCTTAAAAAAAATTTTTTTTTCTCCAATTTTTTTTTTATAGAAAAATTTGCTAAATTAGAAAATTCCAAGTTTTTTTATAATTTATTTTTTTTATTACAAAAAAATAAAATAAACCAATTTTCGTGCAATAATCATTGGTGCAAATTGGTGTTGAAGAGTTGTTGTTTGCTTTTGTGCGATTGAAATTTCTCTTAGATTTAATGGTTCGACAATTTTCTTACTAACACCTCTCCTTTTAATTGCTATAAGTTGTTGCAATGAACTATTCATTGGTAATAATCCACCTTTGATTAGTCGAGTTTGTTGCGGATTGCTTAACCACAAACCTAAATTATCAATTATTGATAAGAGAATCGGAAATAATGATAATGAATTCTTATGATATGATATGATATGATTTCATTATGATTTCTATCTATCTTATCAATTTACTAATTTTCTATCTAATTTTATTATTCTTTTTTATTTTATTATTTCTAAGGCAATAAAAATTTAAAGAAATAAAAAAATAATTGAAATTAAATTTAAGGGAATTTAAAATATTAAATAGATTTTCGATAAATTTTTCGAAATTTTATAAAATATTTTATACGAATTACATTTCGAATTTCTTTTTCATCTTAAATTAATCTTAATTGATATCGAATTTCGATTTATTTAATTTATGGTCCAGAGGAGCCAAAAGATTGGACACAACGATCAACGATCTTATAAATGAAGAATTATAATACTGCTAAAACAATGGATTTGCTAGGAAACGACAAAAATAAAGCAATCAATCAAAGCAAATTCGTTAAACAAGTTTCAAATTTGACACCATCCAAACGTATTATTTGCATACACCATTATTGTCACCTTTTTTTTTTTTTTGACGTGGACGTGGATCCACGTGCAAATGCAAATTTTTTATTCTATTACAATTACAAATTATAATAATTACAAGTTAACGATTAATTGGATTAATTAAAAACTTGAAATTCCTAAAATTTTTCGACTTGATGAAATAAATAAATAAATAAATATTTGTGAGAAATTCTGTTTTGGTACCATTCCAGGTGAAAAAATAGAATAATAAAGCGTACATTGCTTTATTAGTCGTTGGAATTAGTCTAAAACCTAAAAACAATTGAAAAAAAATCTTTGGCTTTGGCTTTGAACGAAAAACGCATAAGCCAATTTTTTCATTAACTTTAAACTCCACTCAAATCCATTTTTTTTTATGAATCTCCTTTCGTAATCCTTTCCCCACCAAAATCCTTCTAAAAGTCACACCATTGGAGATTAGGTTGGTTTTGTAGGAATAAAGGTAGTTTGCATTGATGTCGTATCTGAAATTAATAGAAACTACTAATTTTCCTATTGCCTAAGCCAAATTTACACCATAAACCATTGCCAGATGAATGGGCGAGCTTTTTGAAATGATACCACGAACCAAATGCAGATGAACGAAAAAATGACTCTCCGGATTCAAATTAATCCACCACCAGAAATTTCATCCACAATCCTCCTGGCTATTAGACATGATGAGAATTGCTAGTCGAAGAAGTCGACATTTATTCAATCCTATCCCTAATGAAAGTGTCTTATACAGGAATTTCATCCTTATCCTCATCCTCCATCCATGTAAGCATCTAAGCCTAAGTCTTATTATCCTTATAAATTATATGACAAAACCACATGAGTGAAGCAAATACCAACTAAACCTATTTCTGTGGAAATCCGACTAATCACTATCGAAATCTCCAACATAAAAGAAAATGGTGATAGGAAAGTGATAAAACTAATACAGATTAGCGCTCATATTGCATTGCGAGGCCTTATTTATTAAGGGCCTTAATTTAGGTGCCTAATTTTGTTAAATTAAAAAAAAAAGATTACCTGATAAAAGAAAACCGACAAAAAGAAGCATTCTAAAAGACGAAGCGCTCCGGTGGGAAACCTTTTTAAAAAGCTTTGTTAAGCTTCTATTGTAAATACTGAGAAATTTTTGCCTACGGCATAAACGACGAGGAAAACATGTTTTATATTTTCAATAAAAGGAAGAAAGGCATTTTGTATTTAGCATTTAATATAGCGAAGTGAAACTTTTATTATTTAGCCACAACTTGTTTTTCGTTAATTTTAGCCATTTTAGCTAAAAAAAAAAAGAAATCATTATCGATTATAGATAACTCTCTATCATAAATTGTTGTTGTTTATGAACCAGCACGGTGCACTAAAAATTTTCTCATATGAAACCATCGGACACGATCACCGATATTCACTTATAAATTGAAAAGAAGATTTATTCAATGGTAACTTTGGTTCTTCGTGGATCTCATCGCGATATATATCGAGATGACAATCATTGCACCACCTGATTTTAATTTATGCCACATGGCGGAATTACCCTCATGTGGAGATATACGAAACCCTATTCGTGACTGCAAAAACACACGAATAAATATTTCCCCCATGTTCTTCTTCTTCTGCTAGGATCTGACGATAAAATTTCCAAAATCTCCTTTGATACGATTCCCATTCCTATATCTATTCAATGTTTTTAATTGTTTTCTGCATTTTAATGTTAATTTAATTCTGTTTTATTTTTAAATATTTTTATATTTCTTCTCTTCCGCGAGTATTCTTAATTCCGTTTAATTTTGCTTCCTACATATAATTCGAAATTTAATAAAAAATTTTAAACCATATAATTCTATTATTATTATTGTTACCAAATTTTTTATTTATGAGAGCGTTAAAAAAATGCAACGTAATCCATATGAGATCCATCTAGAACGAACAATATGCATAATGCAATGATATATCAATATTAACGAAATGCAAATTAACAAATTATAACAATGATAAAAATTTTAGCAAACAAAAAAGTGATTAAAAAAATAAAATTATGAAAATTCTAGTAAAAGAGGTAAATCACCATTCAGAAAAAATTAGCTGACCATAATAAGCCGTAATGGCTTTCACTTTGGTATGTAATATATTCTGTTCGATTTCACATCTGCCTCCGCGTCCACTCAGCGAAACCAACTAAAACTAATCGCATTTTTGAAGTGTATTTTATTTCAAAATATTCTACTTTTCCCTTTTCCCCTTATGGAATTCCCAAAGTAACAACTAATAAAATATAAACTGAAATCGTGGACAATACCGATACTTTGCCAGAAACTAGTGACAGAAATATGGATGATTCATAGTCACCAGCCGGATTTCTGAAAGACTTTCCCGTGCTGAGAACGGAACCCAAAAAACAACACCCCATTTATAGAAATCAGAGCAGCAATATTTAAAAAAAATTTAAATAAGATTTAAATAAAAAAAGACAAAGGAAACCTCAGAAGTGCTTGTGCTCCTAGGCAAATAATATGCAATATTCTTCGACAGTTTTCTTGCAGCATAAAAAATTTCAAAGCCGTTCGGTACGAGGTTGTCAAGTGAAAAAATCTGAACTATCAATAAATAAAATTTTTTCACCGATTTTTCTTAACTTATTTCCAAAGTTAAACCTAAAAAAAGGAAGCAAAAATGTAATATTTGAATTTATATGATAAGAATAATAAATGTATTTGGAATAACCAAGCATGAACATTATAATAACTAACTACACGTTTTGAATAAGACGGTCCACCCCACGGTGGACTAAGAAAAACAGCCCCGATATTAGACCATTGATCCTTCACAGAAGAAAGAGCAGTTTTACGCTTTACTGGATTAGAACAAAGAATTTGTCTCATTTTTCGAAATCGTGGACAATACCACTTCACAAAATCAAAGAAATCCATGTGAAGAAAATAAATTTGATCCCTGACACCATAAATTTCGGCATTTCGTCGCGCACATTTTAACTTTATTTTGTCCAAATCAATAGCGATAACTAAAAATGACACGATAATATAATAACATGAATATTATTTTGGATTTTTATCAAAATTCCAGAAAAATAATCAAAATTCCAGAAAAATAATAAAAATATCCTTCATATATAAAATTCCAACCTCTTGCTCCTTTTAAAGCAAATTGAATTGTATTTCCACCAACACCGCAAAAGGCATCAACGATTAGCATATCCTCATAGGTAACAACGCGTTCAGCTATGTGTTTCGCAATTATTTCTGGTGTAACGGAAAACCAACCTTCTGAGAAAAAAATACGATGAATATGGTGAACGAGATGAATATCTGGGAAATGAAGCAACTTAAAACAAAATTACCTTTATCCATAAGAATACCTTCGTCTAACTTTGAAAATAAACGATAACGCTGATTCCAATATTTTCTGAATTCCTGAAAATTAAATGAAATAAATAAATAAAGTAAAATTAAGTAAATGAAATTTAAGTGAAGTTTTTTCCAGTTTAATTTATTCAGTAGTAATTTATCCTCTTGCCAAACTTCAATTTTTCATTCTTTTTTTTTCATTCTTTCAATAAATTCGAGAAATTTGTAAAAAATTTTTCAATCTCAAATGTAACTTTCGATTTTCCGAAACAATAAAAAAAATAAAGAAATGAAAATAAAAATTGAATAAAATAAAATTCTTATAAATTTATGCACCATGTCTTTCTCGTAAGTTTGAAGGGCATTTCTTGCGAGATAACGCTCTTTTCTCACTTTCGCTCCACCGTTCACCTCAGCAAATGAAGAATTAGCGTCCTTTGACAATTATCAATACAATTATCAATAACAACACGAAAAAAGTTTTTTAAAAAATTTTTTTTAATCTTTGTTTAAAAAATTTTTAAAAAAATGCAAAATAGTTTAAGGAAAATGGTCAAAATTTATATTCTATTTTCTTATTTATAGAAGAATATAAAAATTTTTTTAAACCATTAATGGTGAATGATATCCAGTATCCATCATTGAGTTATTGTATTTCTTTACCTTCCTTCTGTATATGAACCGAGCAGTTACGTCCTCAAATAGCAAATGTTTGCACTTTTCTGAGCTGAAAGGCAAATTTTCTTTAATAATGAAACAATTTATGATAAAATTAAAGAAAAAATTACTTTAAATTTTCAAAAAGATTTTCTCTTATCGATGTTTCAGCATCATCTCCATGAACAAAACGCAAATCGCTGACAAAACGATAAGCTCCTAACTGAAAAAAAAAACATACTGAAAGCAATAATATTTCCACTGTTTTTCCACCAGGATAGTTTTTAAGGCGAAGTTTAAAAAAATAGAAGTTAGAGATTCTTACGAAACTTTTATAACTAATCATAATCTTTCGTTAATGGAACTCACTGATCACTGAAAGGACTAAAAGAAAGGACTACAAACGAATCCAAAAGCCTTTATTTTTATTTTATTTATTTTTAATTTCCTGAATAAAATCGCAAAAATGCGATTTTACTACAATAATTTTTAAATTCGTGACAGTAAAATTTGCCGAAAAAACCGTCGGTATCTCAAATTAGTAATTTTAATTGTTGATTTAAATATTATAATTAGTATCCTAGCCCACAGTTATGTTGCGTTTATTTTGTCGTTTCAAAAAAGGTGATTAGGTGATTTAATACAACTTAAATGTGACTAGCGTTCACCTTTCTTCATTCACAGTTAGTAAGCCGTACTGACGATTAACAATTAAAAGGAAAACAGATCCATGTGGCAGGCAGTTGAATCCTAGCGATTCAGATCAGCTATATTTCTACCAAATTTATTTACTTATTAAAACTTATTTTTCTATATTTTCTGATTAAATTTTTGCACTATTTGAGCGCATTATCATATACAAATATAGATATGTTGCATCCGGAACGACGACACGAAGAACAAAATTTATCCGGTGCGAACTTTTATTGAAACGCAAGTGCAGCTACACAAAAATTAGTTTTTTACCGATTTTTAACTCATAGATTTTCCATTAAGAGAAATTAAAGAAATACACTATCAAGGACATTTATTTCATCTAGAAGGGTATAACAATATAAACTCAAACTTTTATAATATTATAAAATTTTATTTCATCTAGAAGGGTATAACAATATAAACTCAAACTTTTATAATATTATAATAATATATTTTATAATATTGAAATTATAAATTTTTAAAAATATCCAAAATTAAAGAAATTTTTTAAAATGGAATTTACGCGTTTGGTAAAGTCGTTTATACGGTGCGATGCCCCTTGAATATGACGAAACACTGTTGAAACCTGAAATGCTGCCTTAATAATCTTCACAAAAATGAGAAACAACATAACTTTTTATTTTGTGATCATTGTAAATCATAGAAGTCAACCTGACGCAAAATTAAAATCCGAGCATCTGAGGATTCTTACCACCACCAACTGACTCTGTGGCGAAAGGGATAAGTGATATCGAAACGGAGTTCTTCTGGTGGTATAAACAGCTCGTTGGCTCATGCGATAAGTGTAGAAATGAGCAAATTAAAGAGAAAATCAGAACAGCACAGACGCTCAAGATAAGGAAATTGCGCAAAATCTTATAAGGACGAACTGTTAATTAATTATATGCACATAAGTATCGGCTACAAATACGTGCAATTTTAGAACTATTTATTAGAACTATTCTACCCTGAATCTGCTGCAGTTATCTTACCTGGCTTAGAACAAAAACACTGGCTGTACAATTTTAGATTGCAGATAATTCGGGGCAAAATGGTATATAAATGAAAATCTATGATGATCAACAAGTTCCGATTGCACGAAGGCTCTCCACGGGAGTACCTTAATTATTAGTAGATATATTCGCACTTCATAAACAAAAATTATCGTCAAAAATATAGTCACCAGAATTGCTAAATCTTCTCTCATAGAAGAGAAACATTGGAATGAGTAGAAAATATGCACCAAAAATTTTTTGACTGTTCTACTAAAAGGATAAAGAATATTTTGAATATATTTTGAATATAGTAATCCACAAATAAGCTAGGTCCACGACAATGTTCGGAATAAACTGATATATCGAAGGGCATCAGAAGAAATGGCTGAATCCGTAAATAACACCACAGGAGAATCCAATTATCGAGCTTCGAAAGCAATAATTCCGAAGATACGGAAGATGCCTGCTTATGCGAAAATTAAAAAACATTCTTAGCTATAACTCCGCAAATTAGCAAGATGATCCGACGTAACAATAATGATTGCTGAAGCTCTCAAAGAACACTCCACATATAGGATTTAGGACTTAAGAATAAATTTAATTTAATAAAACTGCACCATCAATACTAGTATGGCTGAAATGCTATCAAGAAAATGACTGCGATTACCAGTCGCCAACAGAATAAAAAACCACCACTCATAAGCATTCTTACTAACAACGGAAGAGCGCCTGACGACATCAGCCTAAATTCTTAAATGCTTTTCAGCTTAGACAATATCAACAGAACTGGAGAAAGAATGGCTCAGTGGTTATTGTTCAATTAGGAGCCTCAATATTGAGGTCCGATTACCAGCAGGAGTAAACCTGCAAAAAAACTGGGTAATGCTGGCGACTCACCGTGGATTTTTATCACCAAGAGACTCCACTGCATATTGCCTCAATGCGATAAGCCAGCGAAGCGAGTTTAATCAATAATGGTGAGGATTCTTTAAAAAGTACCAAATGATAGACTCACACAATCTGCGATGCTTGGGTTCATCTAAGCCGAAACAAATACCACTCAGCAATCCACTTTTTAAATGAAGGTAACTTATATGAGTAATAGAAAAACCATATCAGATGTTAACACCGTATTTTCATCTACACAAGATGGGTTCTCCGTATATTCCATTGTGTTTTGATCATCCGGTTCCTCTTCATCCGAGCATTTTTTTTCAGAAGCTTTCTGTTCGTCTTCGTCTAAACGTTCAAACTGCATATTTCTTTCCTGAAGAACAAAAAAAATGAAATATTTGAGAAAATATCGGAGAAAAACAATTTTATATATTTTATAGATTAATATCACAAAGCTAATTATTAAGTAAATTTTACACCAATACTGAAGCGTCTGATTCTATAATAATAATTTGAATAATAAATTCTTGGCTCTTCATAAATTTTCGATTTGCCACCGAATTGAGTTGGTAAACCAAGTGCTCGCATTTCTATTTAAAAAAAACGTTAGTAAATAATTTTAAAAATAATTTCTCGATATATAATATAAATAATTTGTAAATAATTTCTCGACCTAAATAATTTTAACTATGAAAATAATAAGTAAAAAATAAAGCAAATTGATAATAAAACTATAGTTCAACAAGATAAACGAAATCAAATATTTGGACCGCTGCCAATTAAAAATTTGATAGAAGTGTAGCTCTAGTTCCGTTATGTCATTCATTCTCCATTATAACAATTTGATAAAATCATTGTCCAAAAAAAGAATTAATTAAATTTTACAACTAATTAAACTAAACTACTAACCATCAATTAATTTTTCCATTTCTGTTTGCTCATCCAACACTGTTTCCTTTGTTTTTACAGCATTGTCTCTGAAATATTCATAATTAATCACCTCAGACATAATTGATTCTGCATATTTTAATTGAAATTTTAAAAATAAGAATATAAAAAGAATATATTATCTGTAAAATATTTTGCTATGATAGTGCACAGCAAGTGCCCCTGAACGAAAAAAACTCGTTTATTTCCTTCAGAATCATTCAAAAATTTTTTTAAAAATCTTCCCAATCTCCGTTAAATTATCCATTTCAGACAATCCAACTAGTGATAATCAAAAGTGCCATTTCAAACAATCCAACTAGTGATAATAATTCCTCAAATTTTTTCTGTCGCTTAGAATCTTTTATATCAAATAATATTTTTCAAAGCCACAGTCGCCACAATTACCTTGGTCTAATATACCACATTGGTATTGTTGTGCCTCTTTATACTATCCTAACCTCTTAGTCTCCTGACAAATTTCTTAAAACCACTTACTGAGCCTTGTTCCTTTTTCTTTTAGTCGGATAGCCAAATTTCCTTAAGCTCCCTTTAGCATTTTTCCTTAGCCTCACTATGGCGATATAGAATTATCGCATCAAAATCCTTTCACTTACTTGTCTACAAAATCTCTTCGATATATCCAAAATATAATTTGTAAAGAATCTCCCAAAACCTAATATTTCATTGATACTTATAAAATCCCATTGTAGTCTATTGCAATAATCCAATGGTCCCACCATTTCGAAAATCTTTTTATTATTTTATTCCTTCTAAACCCAACTCAATTTATTGCCACCCACCACCACTTTTTCAATTTAATGCAGCCTTCCTCGTGGTGCATTTTTACCACATCTGCAATTGTGGAATATAACACATTGGATGCTAAAGCACCAAGAAATCGAATACATATTAAAAAATATACAGTGAATTAAAGGAAGAAATATTTATGAAGAGATTCTCCCAGCCGAAGGACGAGCTTTTTTTACTAATCATTAATAG